TTAAATTATTAACCATTCATTCTGTATGTGCACGAAAATTTATTTCAATCAATAACTTTTCCAGCAGCCTGACATCAGAGCAAATGACAATTTTACCTTCGAAATTTGGCAAATTTATCAACATTATCCCTAAAAATTCACAAAATCTCGATTTTTTGCCAAAAGAATCTCAATTTTGCTTAAATTGACTACCAACGAGCTTGACATTACTAGGAAAACTCATGTGGGACTATCCCAATAGTGTTAATTCAAAAATACGATGTTAAGATATCTTACCTGGACATGCACATTCAGAATATTTTTCACTGCCAAATCTATAAATATCCCAGCGCCTGACTTTACAGGGCTGTAACTTTGCTCAGGAATGAGACTAGTTTAAAGTGATTTTGGAGACATGACTTTTTTGCTAAATGTCAGCATGGAGCCCCACTGTGCTGACTAAAGAACTTATTTCAACAAGCTCTGGTAGGAATTGAAAGACAAAAGGAAAGCAGAGCCTAACACTACTACTACTATGTCGGAGCTAAGTCCGATCTACGCCAGATAACCCCCTCCATATATCCCTGTCCCGCATCAGGGTTCGCAGTTCCTCTTTAGAGTTTGTCCCAACTTCCTTCAGTAACATAGACAAGTAGCCTTGTGATTGGTCGGCCTTGCTGTGCTCTACCGTGCGTAGGTTCCAATAAGACTAAATCACTGGCAAGTAGCTCAGGATGTCGGATGCAGTGTCCCGCCATTTTTAATTGGTAGGCTACCATACAAATTTATATTGCTGACCTTGTCCTTCCATGAGATACCAGCACCATACGCAACATTTTGTGTATGTACCGTCCAACCTTTTCTCTTGAGCCTTTTCAGTGTCCAGGTTTCTGATCCGTAGAGCAGTACTGATTCACAAGCCGCTATGAACAATCTAATCTTGAGGCTCTTTGAGAGTTTGGATTGCCCACGTTAAGGGGCCTGTTAATAATTAATTAAATTATGAACTATTTTAGATTTAATAATAAATGTGCTCTCAATCCAGGAGCCTAAGTAGATGTAATCATCCACATTTTCTATGGCTTCCCGGATCAACTTTGAAGGGCGCTAGATCGATCCTCCATATTCAGTGTCATGACCTTGGTCTTGCCTTCGTTTATGTGTAGTCAACCTTGTCCATGTCCTCAGATATAAGTGCTATATCATCTGCAAAGTCCACATCGGTGATGATCTTGGGCCCTACTCTTCTGCTTTTTCTACATTCGAGAGTGAGTCCAAGTCGCTCCGCCTAACAGAGTTCATTTTATTAGGAACAATAAGGTTGTCAGCGCTGGTAAGAACAGAGTTTCATAAATTTGTTTCATATTTTTAATTGATTGATTGAAATAAATTTTCGTGCACATACAGAATGAATGGTTAATAATTTAATATATATGTAGACCAAGGTCTGTGCACAGGATGCTTCCTGGAAGAATCCAGTTCTTTTAGCGGGGCACCCCACCTAAAGCCAAATTGAGATATAATAATCATATTCCTAAGAAATAATCAGAAATCGAATACCAATCAAATAATATGATATATAGGAGTAGTAACCATATTTACTATGCAAAATGCCCCAACCACATAGTGTAAATTTATATAGAATTCAAATTCCATATCATCATTAAACCTCAATAGTCAATATAATAGCCCAAGCAAAATTAAATAACTTCTTATATACCTTACTGTCATACTACAAATTGATTAAACATTTGAAATCTGTTAACCAGAGAATAAATTTCTAAACCTAATGCAAGTGAAATAATTTAGATGCAATAATGAATGCCTAATGTGAGTATCATCTGTCAATGTCCTTGTAAAACAGTCTGTACAATTTAACAGGACCATGTTATTGCAGGCACAGTTCAGTGTGCAGTATCCTGTATGGTTTCCTGTCAGATTTTACAGACAAATGGCACCATCAAATTTTACTTCTAGAACTCATCAAGCTTAGTCTGAATTCAAAACTAGTTGACCAGCTATGTACAGTTTCCTGGACAACTGGAACCTTTTGGGCCACGCACTAGCCAATAGCATGGTCCTGCATGGTCCTGCAGTGGGGTCTCCTTGTCCTTAGATCTGTGTTTTGATCCGTCTTTTCATAAAATTTTCCATTTGTATCACTTAGACTCACCTATTAAATGTTAATCGACACCACTGGTCCTAGTTACTAGTTAGATTTAGCTATGGCACGACTACCCAAACGTAACAGTTAAATAGGTGTGACATACTATTATATAATTATTAATATGATAATTATATCATATGAATTGATTGCACTGCTAATAAATGAAATACTTCGTTTTACTAAAATACTTTGTTTTACTCTGTAAAGTTTCGAAAGGTATTTTTCATTTTTAAATGCAACATTGTAAACTGTAGTTGAACTGTCCACTATCAAGAAGATTGGTCACTGGAATACTGCATCCTGAAATGCTGGTTAACAACCTTAGGCCTCAGAAATAAGGCGAGAAATTTCCTTTGTCCTATGTAAAATGTGATCTAGCAACAAGGAGTGTCAAACGTCCAAAGGAGTCTATAAAAACAACATCCCTCTAGGCTGAAATATTCATTGAGAAAAATAGTCAAGATGTGGACAACTGTAATCCTAGAAACATCTTAACAAGGAGAAGGTAGGACGGATTTCAAAATAAGGGAATGTTCGAGTCTGCAACCAGGCATAGGGAGACAGACCTGTGCCGTTAAACTTAACTGAAACACCTGGCAGAAAACGTCCAACTTAAAACAGGAGCCCCATGAACCTTTGTTATTGACTCCAAGAAACCTCATCCTGAGCCATTTGTCGGAATGACAAGTTCTGTCCTCAGCAACGTTTCAGATACCTCGCACTTGTGGATGTTAGCTGCACCTGGGGGGGGGGTGTCACGTCCGTCTATGTCCGCTTGTCTCATAGAATCCAAAAAGGACAGGACATAGGCGGACATAGGCGGACATAGGCGGACATAGACGGACATAGACGGACATAGGCGGACATAGACGGACATAAGCGGACATAGGCGGACATAGGCGGACATTAATGGACACCTAAATTGCTAAATAAAATGTTCAATTTTTGCTGTTATAGGGGATCATGTTTTTTGTCCGTTCGGTACCCTATATTTTCAAAACGGACAAAAAATAGAGCGGACAAAAACGGAAAAAAATGGACAAAAACGGACAAAAATGGAAATAACATTTAGATGCTTCCTCCTCCTACTCTTCCTCCTCCTCCCCCTGGGTCTTCCTGATCTTCCTCAGTCCTCTTCCTCCTCCCCTCCTCAGTCCTCCTCCTACTCCTCCTCCTCGTCCTCAGTCCTCCTCATCAGTCCTCATCAGTCCTCCTCAGTCCTCCTCCTCCCCAGTCCTCCTCCTCCTCCTGAGTCCTCCTCCTCCTCCTGAGTCCTCCTCCTGGGTCCTCTTCCTGGGTCCTCCTCCTCCTCTTCATCCTGGGTCTTCCTGATCCTTCTCCTCCCTCTCAGTCATCCTCCTCATCCTTCTCCTCAGTCCTCCATCCTCCTCCTCCTCCTCCTATTCAGTCCTCCTCCTCCTTCTCAGTCCTCCTCAGTCTTCCTCCTCCTCCTGAGTCCTCCTCCTCTTCCCTCTCAGTCATCCTCCTCAGCCATCCTCCTCAGTCCTCCTCAGTCCTCCTCAGTCCTCATCCTCAGTCCTCCTCCTCCTGGGTCCTCCTCCTCCTCTTCATCCTCCTCCTCTTCCTCCTCGGTCCTCAGTCCTCCTCCTCCTGGGTCATCCTCCTCATCCTTCTCATCAGTCCTCCTCCTCCCCAGTCCTCTCCCAGTCCCCCTCCTTCTCCTACTCCTATTCAGTCCTCCTCCTCCTCCTCCTCCTCCTCAGTTCTCCTCAGTCCTCCTTCTCATTTCTCCTAAGTCCTCCTCCTGAGTCCTCCTCCTGAGTCTTCCTCCTCTTCCTTCTGAGTCCTCCTCCTGAGTCCTCCTCCTCCTCCCTCTCAGTCATCCTCCTCAGTCATCCTCCTCAGCCATCCTCCCCAGCCATCCTCCTCAGCCATCCTCCTCAGTACTCCTCAGTCCTCCTCCTTCTCAGTCATCGTCAGTCCTCCTCCTCAGTCCTCCTCAGTCTTCCTCCTCCTCCTGGGGCCTTTTCCTGGGTCCTCCTCCTGGGTCCTCCTCCTCCTGGGTCCTCCTCCTCATGGGTCCTCCTTCTCCTCCTCCTCCTCAGTCCTCTTCCTCCTCTTCCTCCTCCTCCTCCCTCTCAGTCATCCTCCTCGGTCATCCTCCTCAGCCATCCTCCTCAGCCATCCTCCTCAGTCCTCCTCCTTCTCAGTCCTCCTCAGTCCTCCTCCTGAGTCCTCCTCCTCCTGAGTCATCCTCCTGAGTTCTCCTCCTCCTCCTCCTAGGTCCTCCTTCTGGGTCCTCCTCCTCCTCCTGGGTCTTCCTGATCCTTCTCCTCCCTCTCAGTCATCCTCCTCAGTCATCCTCCTCAGTCATCCTCCTCAGCCATCCTTCTCAGCCATCCTCCTCAGTACTCTTCAGTACTCTTCAGTCCTCAAAATGTTTGTCCGCTAATGTCCACCAATGTCCGCTAATGTCCACCAATGTCCATCCAAGTCCGCCAATGTCCGTCCGGGTCCGCCAATGTCCGTCCGAGTCCGCCAATGTCCGTCCGAGTCCGCCAATGTCCGTCCGAGTCCGCCAATGTCCGTCCGTGTCCGCCAATGTCCCAAAAAACACGTCCGTTGTCTCATAGAATCCAAAAAGGACAGGACATAGGCGGACATAGACGGACATGACACCCCCCCCACCTGGGTTTGGCATATTATGATAAACGATGAATTTTTCAGTACTAGAGTAGGTGATGTTAATTCCTGCAGATGTAAGTGTTTTTAGTTGGGGTGGCAGGTCCTTACAAGTTTACTTACTTGCTGCAATTAGGGTTTATTCATTATTATATTCCTCCTGCACCCCCTAACTCATCTTATTTATCGTGTACGTCCCTTTAACCAAGTAATCGTTTGAAGAATGGACTGAACAACTATGAGATAATGTCAAAAACACAGGCTCCTAACAAGGAGATTAGCGGGCAGATAGAAAAAAGTGAACTTCTTGAGCGACTAAAGGTAACTATACCCTGGTGTATTAAACCAATCGTGGCAGTTAAATGTTTACTTAAGTTGTGGAACAATATTCTTAATTCTAGATAACTTATTGATGCTTTTCATACAAAAAAGTTAAAACAAATTCTTTATGTCGTGCATCCTGGGTTTGGACAGGATATGCCCGCTTAAAATACTTCCATCGCGTTACATTACATAATTTTCAATAAATGTAATAGATTTGTAGTGTTGTAATTAGTTTAAATAATGTCACTGTTAAATATTATTGAACTATTGGATTAACCGTTAACGTTTTAGGCTTGGGCTGCATTTTTATCTGAGATCGACCAAGAAGAAGACAAAAGCGAACTAGAACAGATCTGTGCCAGTTTGGTGTCACCCGACTTACTTCAATACGAGGATGCGGATGTGAAACTATTTGTGGCATGCTGTGCTGCTGATGTACTTAGGATTTATGCTCCGGAAGCTCCGTATGCAGATGAACAGCTTAAGGTTTGAAGGGTTTATTCTTTTATTGTTGTGATGGAAGGTTTCTACTTTGACTGCTTTGTGTAAGTTGTATGGTAGTTGTGTGGCGACTGGCGGGGTTTTTGGGGAAAGGAGATTAAAAAATCCGGTATATATCGGGGACCGGGGTTCCCGGTAAATTGGATTTTACTGCACTGCTTGCCGACAGAGGTTGAGAAAGTAATATATTTCCGATCAGTGATTGCTGAGTGAAGGGGTGGAGACTAGGGAGTCTAATTTAAGGATTGTATCTTATATTTTAAAAAGATTAACTATTTCCATTATATAACGAGTCAACTAAAGTTTCATAGCCTTCTAAATTTCCGGCAGGAAATATTCATGATGTTCGTAGAACAGTTGCGTGGACTGGAGGACATAGAAGGAAAGAGCTTCAAACGATACTTTTACCTGTTGGAGAACTTGGCGTGTGTCAAGACTTTTATCCTCTGTATGGAACTTGATGCTCCCGATATTATTCTCAGCTTGTTTAGAACATTCTTTCAGGTTCGTTCCGCTGTTTAGTGTTTACTAGACTGGGAGCTGGGAAAATAATAGTTTTATCGGAATTTTTACTATGATTTTCAATCTAGCGGCCGCACTGTTTGCATCTGTATAAATTTTAGGGGAAAAATCAGCAATTGATTGTCATGAACCTATGATAATAAGCATGATATAAGGTTAACAAAGAAGTGATTTGTCTACATACGTAACTGTACGTATAGTAATAGTTAGTTGCCCAATCGATTAACAACCCAACTTATCACAGATATTCAATGACCGACACGTTGGAAAGGTACAGACATTCATGGTTGACATCATGATGACCGTCATGCAGGAAGGAGACAGCATTCCACAGGTTTGTAGCGGTCTCCGGGCCATCTGTAGCACAGCCATCTGTACCACAGCTACAGCCATCTGTACCACAGCCATCTGTACCACAGCCATCTGTACCACAGCTACAGCCATCTGTACCACAGCCATCTGTACCACAGCCACGAATACCTTTACAATTTCACTAAAACCTGGAAATTTAGAGGCTGTGGTATAGAAAAAATATTACTATTTTTCGACTTGAAATTGCTTACACAGCAAACGTATTTTTTAATGTTAAGATAATTTCAATTTGAAAGATGATTAAGTTTAGGCTCATTAGAGTTTAAGGGTTGGCGTTCGTTAATGTCTGTTTGAGTGAGTAAATCTGTGTGAATACGTATTTTATAAAGTGTGATTTGAGTGAACAAGCTTTTTAAATCCCCCTTCTTGCAGGATGTAATGGATATAATCCTGATGCACATAATCCAACCCTACAAATCCCGCAAACCTGCCGCTCACAGACTCGCTAAGGAGCTCATCAACAAAAGTGCTACTTATATGGAGCCCAACATCCAGAAGTTCTTTAATGCCGCGTTAATGAAGGGAATTGAAACTGATTCTGGTAAGAATACAATGGTTTTAATGTCCAAGATGAAATTTGAAACCTCAAAATATGTTGTACGTAATAAAACCTGACTTAAACTCAACGTCATAAATCAAATTCTCTCTTATAGATATGCTGCATTTTAACTTTAGCATATATGTTCGGAAAGCAAAGTAACACATTTTATTACAGGTCTACACAGTCGAGTGTACGATCTGATCAAGGAACTGAACAGAGTTTGTCCGAGTATTCTCCTCGCAGTTTTACCTCAGCTACAAGAGAAACTGAAGAGTAGTGATGTTAACGAAAGATTAGAGGTTACCAGGTATGTATTGTGCTAAGTTAGATATCCGATTAGAGCCTAGAGGTTACCTGGTATGTACTGTGCTAATTTAGATAGCCGATTAGAGGTTACCAGGTATGTACTGTGCTAAGTTAGATATCCGATTAGAGGTTACCAGGTATGTACTGTGCTAAGTTAGATATCCGATTAGAGGTTACCAGGTATGTACTGTGCTAAGTTAGATATCCGATAGAGGTTACCAGGTATGTACTGTGCTAAGTTAGATATCCGATAAAAATAGAACTGACTAGATGCTTGTAACGTTTTCGTAATTTTCTGAGTTTATATTATATGATTATGGTTTTGAGCATTGTGAAAAGTTTTGCTTTTTTATGAATTCTGCGGTTCATGAAACGTCTGTATCGTTTTTTAATCTATTCTTAATATATAATACCTATTGGGTAGAAATCTCCTATTAAAACCATGATTTACGTTTCAGGTTGCTTGCGGAGATGTTTTCAGATAAAGGTTCAGAGCTGGCAACCCAAAACAAACAACTGTGGAACTGTTTTTTGCGCAGATTTAACGACATAGAGGCTGCTGTCCGGGCTGAGTGTGTCAGCACTTGTAAAAACTTCATCCTCAACCATTTGAAACTTAGCGATGTGAGTCTAGATCAAGCAAACAAAATATGGTTATGATATCGTATTTCTTGGTTAATGATTTCCTCAATAGATTTTAAAGAATTTCTGATAATTGGTGTGATCAGTTCACACCAATTATTTACCAATATTTTAATTTTAAAGTTTAAAACAAATACAGGAGCGCAGCCAGTAGACTTGCTTTTACGTTTCAGGATTGCTACACAAACCTTTGTAAGCGACACAGAGATCCTGATGAGAAAGTGAGACTCGAAGCTGTAAAAGTTGTGTACGCTATCGCTTCCGATGATATCACCAGAATGACTCCTGAGCTATTCATGATATTGCAGGTTTAACTTATATTTCTTCTTTCTGGTTTTGATCCTGGGATCGGATTGTTACATGCTTTGTAATACGATGTTATTTTTCCATGGAGATTGAATGTCTTGTTACAGAGATTGAATGTCATGTTACGGCCTAATATTCAGAACTAATGTATCTGTAGTGGTGTTGAAAAGTAAGAAAACAGGAGAAACTTGAACCCCGCAACAGTGCATGCTGTCCGACCCTCATTGTTGACAGTGTTTCCAATTTTTAAAATCTTTCAGGAACGGATGCTGGACAAGAAATGGCCTATCCGACATCAAGCCATCATGAATGTTGCTCGACTGTACAAAGAAATTAACAGTAAGAAGGACCCTAGTAAGATAAAGCAAGTAGCTTGGATGCCCAACAAAGTTCTTCATACTTATTATCAAAACACGAGCCAGGTAACTTATTTTTTACAGCATTTTTGTTTTGCAGTGCAGATACTATAATAGATTTTTAGTTACCTGTAGTCAGTCGACATTTTCGTGTCGGCATTCCCATGTTGAGCGGGGGCGGTGATTCTCTTCGATCACATCACCACGCGGCAAACAGCAAGATTTTTGTTGTCTTTGGACAGCCAAATTTAGCGCGCGCTGTGGAATCACTGCTCCCGCCTTCCTTTCAGCCAATCACAGGTCTGCTGCTCCTTCATCAAATAATTTTTCTCCGAGCAGGATACTCTAAGCCGCGCAAAAATCCTCTATTTTTCTCGCCCGTGATAGTGGAAAATACGATGGCGAAGCATAGTTTGTGCGCGCGTCAGATGCAATTAATGCGCGGCTTTTAATACATCCCGCCTAAACAACTGAATTTCTCCAGAGAAGTGAAAACCTAGATTGCTTACCTAAGCAAGGCGAGGTCTAGATCCACAACTGCTCAATAAAGTTTATATTTTCGCAGGATCGTTTACTAGTGGAACGTCTCCTGTTATCCTGCTTGGTTCCTGTCAGTTTGGGAGCTAAGGACAGGATGAACATTCTCCTCAGAACGTATTGCCTGTTGGACGCCGCCGCAATCAAAGCGCTAAACGAGTTGTTGCGATATCAGCAGACAATCAGAATGCATCTAGCTGCACTGCTCAAAGCTATTGAGCAAGGAAGTAAGTGACTTTATATGCAATTTAATCGTAAATTGAGGGCCGGAAAATAAATTGTATAACGACTCATTGTTATATATCAAGCCTATAAATGTACAATAAACTGCGTACATTAGATAGTGATCAACATTGGCTTCGTGATGTTTGTTATGAACTGAATGTAGGGCTGCCATCTTGGAATTTGTGTACCTCATGCCGTATATTTATAACACATTCTGTGCAGTGTACAGATCGTGAAACGTACTTTAGTTTACACCATAAGTTATGCACTCTCACTTCGTTCGTTGTAGACACCCAAGTCACGTGATAATTATTGGGCTGCAAAATAATATAAGTTACAGCATGTATATTGTATAACCACTCCACCGGCTAATATCACTAATATTAAAATGTCCTTTTTACCCAGTTGGCGAAGAAGACCGTAAGAAGCTGTTGAACCAAGTTAGCATGTTGTCTAAATCCCTTCCTGATTCAAAGACAGCTAACAGTGACTTAAAACGCCTCAGTAACACACTTGTCCACGACAGGTCTCTTCTCAAGGTAATATTTTATCTAATTGGATTTTGCTGCTGCAAATAAAATCTTAAAAGATTTCGATCGTTTTTATAGGGTTTATACGACTTTTTGTTGTAGGACTAGTCCAATTATGATTAAGGTTAATTAAATAAATTTAGAAACTCTTGTTGAGGTCCTATAAACTAAATTTGACCATCAGTTAAGTACAGAAATCATAGAATTTTCTTAAACTACAAAAATTCCAGGCATTCCAGACGATAGTAACACCGGGGGTTTCTTGCCAGCAAGTAGCTCGTGCTGTCAGCGAAATAATGAAGAAACTAACCAACAAAAACCCCATCATGGATACAATCCGAGCACTGATGGACAGGACGGCGCCGGTTTTGGCTGATGCAACTTGTATTACTGTGTTAGTTAACTTGGTTTCACAGCTGCTCACTGCTCCTACAGATGCAGAGAGTGACGATGAGGACAAGTTCAATGTGTTTATCAACGGACAGAAGGGTCTTCACTTGATACTGGTGAGAAATTGTTCTTATATTTCCAGTTTAAACCTGATGTTAATGGTTAGTGAGTCGATAGTCGATATATCCAGCTAGAGCTAGAACTTGAGAATTTCGCTCCTTCAATATCTGCTTAAATAAGTTGATGAAGTGTACGTTGTATATTAATAATGAATTTGTTTTCAGTCACTAGCTACTGTGTACCCGGGACAGTTCAAAGCACAAGAAGTATTCGAGCAACTTTTGGTTAACTTGAAAAACGCTGATAATGAAGTCGTCCTGATGGATCTCAAGATCCTCGCTAAAACTGGTCAGTGCATATTAAATCTGATACGATAATTTTGTCGTCACGAATTCCTAACCGAATCGAAATTCAACATAACTTCTGTAGAAGCAAATCTTATTTTACTTGATATGAGGCGGATTGAGTGTTTATAATATAATATTTTATTTTTAGCTCAAGGGCTAGACAGAAGGCATGCAAGTGTGGCGGGATGTTTGCAACCACAGCTCCTCAAGATAGCCAAGGAGGGTACACCCAAACAGGCCAAGCAAGCTGTTCAGGTTATCCATGCTGTCTATCAGGATAGTCCTAAAGTTCTGGAAAGACTTTTAGAGGTATTTACCTGATTAGTACTAGAAGAGAATGTTTAGTGATAGTATTTGATTGTTTTTTTGTTTGTGATTTTCTCTGGTTCATCTGTTGCATGTCATGCCAAAAGTGATAAAGATTTATAGGAACGTAGGAAGGTATGGGTTTTGTTTTAATTTTAATTTATCTGTTTTCAGTCGATGGTGGGATTGTTGGACCCTACTCACATGAACCTCCCATCAATCGTCAAGGCTATCGCTCAGATCGCAAAAGTTGCTCCTAAAATATTCGAGGAATTTAGCAGAGATGTCGTCAGAGACTTTTTGCTTTCCGAGGTATGTGACTATTTACCGAAAAATATTCTGCTTTGAATAATATTATATTAGTTTCGTCAGTGTATCCAATAAGTCTTATCTGTAAATCTGAGTTTATATCTAAATTTTCGTACTACAGATTCTGACTCAAGACAGAGAAGAGGAGGGGCTGATTGAGGATGACTTTTGGTGTGAGCAGGAGGAACTTTCTAAAGATGCTAGAGTGAAGGTACTGACATTCTGCTCGATTAAAGATAGAAGTTCTTGAATTTTCTATACTTTTCTGCCGTCTTTTATATGAAACAATAACAAAAATGAGACCTGTCCGGTGGTTTGAACTTTGATTTATCCAAAGAACTCCTTAAGGTCACGTATCGCTCCTTATATGAGCATCACGTGTTTCTGTACTTTCATACTTACGAAAGTACAGAAACACGTGATGCCCATATAAGGAGCGACACGTGACCATTCTTCTCCCGCAGATAGAAGGTCTGCATGTGATGGTTAACTGGGTAGCTCAGACTGCGGGTGATAAGACGGTTATCTCAACTCCTGTATTGAAGCTACTTTGGGCGCTCCTCCAACAGAAGGGGGACATGAATGGAAACAGCGAAATTAGGTTCGTTTCATAATCAGCTGATCTGAGAACTAACATCATGAAAAAACAATATTGGATCTTATATATCAGATCCTCTACCAATATAATCAACTAAATGTTACAAAATGCGTTTTAATATTATTTTGGAGTTCGCGTGATGATCCAAAATGTCATATTCATTTTCCTTACTGAATGATACCCCCAATCCCCCCACTGACTCACCCTTTTCAGACTTTGTTCGATGTCTCACTTACGTCTCCACGCTGGACTCTGTGTCTTGAAGCTAGCAGCCGAGCCGACCTGCTTTGACTTGATACCTCTGGAGCTGTTCCAAGAGGTAGCCTGGCTTATACAGGACCCATGCCCTCAAGTCAAACAAGCTATGCTGAACAAGCTACAGGTTAGTTTGCTAACACTTACTTAGCACAAAATATAGACTGATAGATACATTTTTCGACCATAGCATAGCGCTTCAACTTCAAAAACAGCATAATATCCATTAATTATGTACTCTAGTAGCAGGGAATAGTTGAGTGTGCACTTCGATGTACACGATTTCTGACAACACAGGGTTGTTTGTTAGATCATTCTTAACCAAAATCGTTTAGGTACGCAATTTGTGTCGCTAGACATAACCCTACAGGGCAAATTTTCTAAATTACCCTCAGTCGCGTATACGGGATTTTTGTATTTCAGCTCCTAAAGGTCATAGAGACTTGAATTTTAGCTTAAAATTACCGCAATGGCCACATTTATATACAAGTTATGAAGCAACATAAGGTCTCCAGTGCTTCGTTTTATAGATATTGACAAAAAACTGTTTTTTTATCTCAGCGAACCAAAAATGGCACTGAATTTTGATAACTTGAACTAGGAAGGTCGTAGAGACTTGAATTTTAGCTTAAAATGACCGCAAACATCATATTTATATACAACTTATAAAGCAATATAAGCCCTTTAATGCTTATTTGTTGAGATATTGACAAAAATCAGTCATTTTGGCTACACGTGTGAGGAAAAATACCAAATTGGGCAACTACTTCGGTCTTTTTTTTGACAAGTTTTGTGCTCAAGTTATTAAAATGTGCTTTGCAGTTGTAGATCGGATGTTTTCTTCCAATATGGGTTTCGGTATAAATCCGGAAGCACCCGGTTCATGGGTGATAGGGGTTAAAAACCCTGAAATGTCAGGCGATGGGCGAGACAATTGTCTGAATTTGGTTATAAAATCACTCTTTGCTAGGGTTTGCTTTTTTCCGCTACATCGATCCGCTTTCTAACTACTGATCATCCCCCTCTACATCATTGATCATTCTCTTTTAGATACATGATTTCTATAAGTTCTTGAAGGTACATCCGGCATGATGTAAAGTCTATATCAAAGCATTTTAATGTGGTCTTAACAAGTTGCAAGAAATTTAAGTTCACTAATAAAACAGAGATTGTAGGATATCCTTCTTTTACACATTGAGTAATTTTGGCTACACATGTGAGGAAATATACCAAATTGGTTTACCAAACAAAGATTGTAGGTTATCTATTATTCTTTACGTGATTATTGACGAAACTTCATAGTCAAACCTGTATTATTTTTAATATTTAATATTTATTCACACTTTCCATAAGACTATTATTGGGAGTCATTTTTGTGGTTACAATTCGATTAAATCAGTATTTCCAAGCAAAAAACTGTCCCAAATTTCTCTTCCGAATATGGTCCGCTAGTTCGAAATTGTAGCGCTTATAAACGTTATTGTTAGACATTACATTAGGATAATACTATTGAGACCAGATGTAGTGATCTATTTAGATAAAGCGAAGAAGGTGCATCTGAATGAGGAGAACTTTGCTGATCAAGAGAAAATAAGATAAGGAGATATCAGCAGCTGACAGAAGAGATAGAAGCCAACGGATGGGCTTGCAAGCTCCAGACAGTAGAATTTGGAGTTCGAGTCATTTACAACTGCAGCCTCCAAACCTTTATGAACCACCTGAACGTAAACACTAAAGAGAAAAAGGCCTGCATGAAAATCGCTGAAATTAGCATGAGGGCACCATACACCATCTATCTGTCCAGAAACACCATTATATGGACAGATGATTGGGAGTTAGGCCCATAAAACATGTTTGATACCGCTATGAACCTGTCATAAGCCGGGGACTACCATGGAAGTGATATTGCTGTGTCGCTGAAAGACCCTACTACCATTCAAAGATGTACCTTATCACGCCAAGCAGTTATGCTTGTAGGTGAATACTGGATATGCAATTATATAGTTGAACTACTGTATAATACTCCATTCAAAATAGATTTAAGATGACGTTAATGTACATTGTACAACATCCGCATCCACATCGTTTATCTGTAATCAAAAAGTTACGCTTTGATTTCCCGATTCAAAATGTTTAATACTGTCAACCCGAATAATTTGATGATAACTTAAGATGTACCTTTGAAAGTTAGTATTACCTTGGAAATAATTATTTTTACAAACTACCGTTCAAAACTTATAGATCAAGTGATTGCCTACCCACAATTATATTACAACGTTGTGGGGTCAGTCGATATTGTTGCTAAAAATCAGGAGCAAGCGTCTTGAAACAGGATACCATAAATCTGTATAAGTTTTAAGTAGTTTCATTCTACTTTTAATATTATTATTGGGTCGTTTACGTTTAAATTATATTTGGCCATTTTATAGCCTCCCCCTCAAAAATCCCACAATTACTCAATATGTAAAAGAAGGATATCCTACAATCTCTGTTTTATTAGTGAACTTGAATATCTTGCAACTTGTTAAGACCACATTAAAATGCTTTGATATAGACTTTACATCATGCCGGATGTACCTTCAAGAACTTATAGAAATCATGTATCTAAAAGAGAATGATCAATGATGTAGAGGGGGATGATCAGTAGTTAGAAAGCGGATCGATGTAGCGGAAAAAAGCAAACCCTAGCAAAGAGTGATTTTATAACCAAATTCAGACAATTGTCTCGCCCATCGCCTGACATTTCAGGGTTTTTAACCCCTATCACCCATGAACCGGGTGCTTCCGGATTTATACCGAAACCCATATTGGAAGAAAACATCCGATCTACAACTGCAAAGCACATTTTAATAACTTGAGCACAAAAATTGTCAAAAAAAGACCAAAGTAGTTTTTTAAAAAAAAATGTATCTATTTTTTAGAGAGGCTGGGCCTGGTTGGCCCACGAGAGGATAGCATAAGAATGCTTTGCCTACCTCTGGGGTATGGCAGTCCTGTGGGAGGATGCCAGTGGAATCAAGATGTGTAATCAAGGATGATGGTAAGTGTTGTGGGGTGTGTCAAAATACCAAAGTAGTTGCCCAATTTGGTATTTTTCCTCACACGTGTAGCCAAAATGACTGATTTTTGTCAATATCTCAACAAATAAGCATTAAAGGGCTTATATTGCTTTATAAGTTGTATATAAATATGATGTTTGCGGTCATTTTAAGCTAAAATTCAAGTCTCTACGACTTTCCTAGTTCAAGTTATCAAAATTCAGTGCCATTTTTGGTTCGCTGAGAAAAAAAAACAGTTTTTTGTCAATATCTATAAAACGAAGCACTGGAGACCTTATGTTGCTTCATAACTTGTATATAAATGTGGCCATTGCGGTAATTTTAAGCTAAAATTCAAGTCTCTATGACCTTTAGGAGCTGAAATACAAAAATCCCGTATACGCGACTGAGGGTAATTTAGAAAATTTGCCCTGTAGGGTTATGTCTAGCGACACAAATTGCGTACCTAAACGATTTTGGTTAAGAATGATCTAACAAACAACCCTGTGTTGTCAGAAATCGTGTACATCGAAGTGCACACTCAACTATTCCCTGCTACTGGAGTATGTAATTTTAACCGTGTTATTGCTTTAAATGAACTTTCCCATTCCCACAACCATCAATTCACATTCTCCTCTCGTACATGCCTCCGAAATAACTTCTGACATCTTCAGAAAGGTCTGACTTCAATGAAGCTGCCACTGGAATACGTTGCTCTCCTAGCTTTCTACGCTACTGATGTGGGCAAAGAACGCCGTTCTAAAGCCAGACAGATATTGTTGAGAGTAATTCAGCTGAGGAGAGAGTACATGGTCATGAACTCAAGTATGTGAATTTAGTCGTGTTATGTTATTTGTTGTAAAATACTTGGAACAGAGCGTTGTGCACAAGAAATACTAAACTTAAGCCAGAGAGAAACATCAGAGAAACTGATGTAAAGAGTTAAATTGATGTTTGGCTTTTCAACTCAGTCTTTTGTCAAGAATGTACCTACAAGAATGTACTTACAAGAATATACTTACAAGAATCATAATTCACTTTGTGACAGGTAACTCTGAGAGAAACCACACGGTACTGCCAGAGTACGCCCTCCCCACTCTCATACATCTCCTAGCCCACCATCCAAACATGGACAACGACAACAAAGACTCCCTCAAATCTTCTCTAGGTTTGTTTTAAATGTCGATGTTATTTACATACTTGATCAGGACTGGCAATTGTAACCAAGAGCTATGAATATGAGTGTATAACATTGTTAGTTCTTGTATATTACCACAGTGAACCTCTGTTTTAACTAATATTTACAACTTCAGATGTGTTATGGTGGTTCCTGGAACCCTTGATGCAGAAGAACGACAATTTCCCCTTCCTCAAAAAGCTTGTCGAGACTGTCAAACAAGCCGTGGACGCTATTGATCCTTTCAACGATACCATCAATGAACGAATGTAAGTTTTGTTCATAATTTACCAGTCCCGATTTTAAAGCATCGCTTGCAAATTAAAGTACTATAGGAATCTTATCTAATATTTTAGATCTTCTTCAAACCAATTCCCTTTTCAATATTTTTTATCGTTTCTTTTGTAATAGATTATTGCACAAAAAAACAGATTTATGATTCTGATGTAACACCAGGTATGCTATCTGTGACTTAGCGTTCGGAGTCATCAACTGCAAATGTGCAAACGTTAAGCTCCCACCCTTCCCTGGTGAAGTGAAGCTCTCCAAGAAATTCTTTGCTCCACCTGAAAAACTGGTAGGTTGTTTTCTGACTACTCTACGGTTAATCCCAAACTACAACTAAAATTAACGGCACTAGTAGATTTGATATAAGTCCGGGAGAGTAAAAAGCTATTTAACTAAGCATTTAATCTTAATCAGAATGAGCCATACTCTTTTTATAGAGTAAATTTTAATGATAAATAGCAGTTTAATACTCTTAAAATGATAACCGTACTCTATCTAGGTACCCAACATCAAACAGTATATCCCTGAAAAGTTCGATTTTAACCCGCATCGAGTACCAGTAGCAGTGGAAATGGAGATAGACCACCCGACTGTGAAAGCTAGACACATCGTGGTGAGAATCTTAATTTTCTCAATCTTCTGTTTACATTTCAGTTGTCACAAATCCATGTGATATTTTCAGGATTTTATATCAATTATCAACTCCAGAGCGGTTGAAGTGTAGGCCTTAAGGGTCCAAACTGAAAGTGTCCCTGAAATGTAATTCCAAATACCTCTGTCACTTGTCAGTAACCCTTTCTGGTAATATTGTTGCTGGTCTGGAGTCTTGTGTATCTTCTTTATCTGATAAATGTTTTTTACAGGCGGCTGAAACGGCACTTACGAAAATCAGCAAGAGAAAGTTTACAAGGAAGACGCCAAAGAGTAGGAAGAAGTCAGTTTCTGATGAAGAAGACGATCCTACACAGGTGATTGGAATTTACAGAATGAAACAAACTTTAAAGAGGAATTTAGCGCTATCGTGCGGGAACGGCGGGAAGGGATATAAGGACAACTAGAGGGGTATCTGGTATTGATCAATAATGTTTTAATTATTGATTACTCTGATTATAAACCAACTATTTGATTATCTGGTAACAAATATAAAACTACAGGTAGCAGCAGACGACTGGATTGATGATCTGACTCAAGAGGGAGATGATGAAGATGTGGAGATGAAAGATATCGAAGGAGATAAAACCCCAGACAAAGCAGAGAAAACCACAGAGGAGGAAGAAGAACAACCTGATTTGGAAGAGGAAAAGAAAGATGATGAGACATTCGAAACAGCAGGAGATGTAGCCGAACTCACCTCGCCGGAAGTGGCTAAGAAAAATGATGACAAACCCAAACTTACTAAAACCGGAAAAACATTTAAACCGAAAGCTAAGGCACCTAAGCCTGAAAAAGCTGTTAAAGCTGTTAAACCAGCAAAAGTGAAGCAGAAGAAGATAGTGTCTCCCATTAAACCAACTATAACACCAAAAACACCCAAACTTGCCATCAAGAAACAGCCCATCAAATTTTACCGAGCTGAGCTGTTCCCTGAACCAGAAATGCCTAAACCTAAACCCATCAAGGATGACGGTAAACCTCAGAAAATCCTTAGGATTAAAGTGAACAAGTCCAAAAAAGGTAACGTCAACGCTAAAGAAGTCATCAAGAAGTCCTTCAACACCATGTACGATCAGCTGATAAAGAACATGTACGACCCAATGCCATACCACAAAAGGAAATCCCCATCACCGGAACGAGCTGTAAAACTACCAGAAAAGCGTCTTACTCTGGTGAGCACAAGACATCAGAAGAAGATCGGCCTTGACAAAGTAGATCTGGGCCAATCTCCTGTCATTCTGATGTCCAGTACTCCCGTCAGCGAGCCCACCAAGAAGAGAAGGAAGAACGACATTCGGTCGTTCCTGGACCCGAACAAGTTTAATACTCCGACCTCGAGTAAGAGAAGAGTGGAGAAAAGAAGGTACAGACTCCGAGCATGGCCTCTTCTTCCGGAGACAAAATAGTGGCAAAGAAAAGAGGAAGACCCGCCAAAGTGAAGAAATCCTCTGATTTAGACGATGAGGAAGAAGCAACTGAGGAAGAGGCTCCTACCGAAAGTGCTGAAGATGCTGGTAACAAAGAGATTCAGCCCCAAGAAACTGATGCTTCTATTGAAGAAGATTTACCGCAAATGTATGCTGCCTCTACTGAAGAAGATTCACCGCCAGAATCTGCTGTCCCTTCAAAAGATGATTTATCACAAGAGTCTGCTGCCTCTATTGAAGATGATTTACCACCTAGTCTTACCACCGTGGATGAAGTTTCCAGCCAATCCCAGGAAAGTTCAGATACGCCTGTCAGCAAAGATGTGGAGGAGGATAGAGGGCAAATAGATGAGGGAAGCAAGAAACCCTCCGAACCGACCTCTACAAGTATAACCGATGGAGCCAAAGCAGTTCCCGAGGTAATGAAAGAGCCTGTTATTGAAGAGCCTGTTATTGAAGAGGAAGTTATTGAAGAGGAAGGCTTAGTTAAACTTGTGGAAGAAAATATCGAAGAAAATGAATATGAGAAGACAGAAAACCTTTTGGATGAAAATAAGGAAGAAAATGAGGTAGAGTTGGTAACTGAAGAAGAAGAAGAAGTGGTAGAAGAAGTGATCGAAGAAGAAATAGTGGAGGAGATAATCGAGGAATCTGTAGAAGAATCACAAACCGAAGAAGAGGAAGCTACAGAAGAAGAGGCTGAAGAAGAAAATGTGGCGGAAAAACAGCCATTGAAGAAAAGACGAGGTCGGGCAAAAAAAGTGGTCATTGAAGAATTTGAAGAAGTTGAAGAGGCGGCTGTTATGCTGGTAGAAGAAACTGACGAAGAATCGGATGAAGAGGAGGAGGAGGAAGAGGAGGAGGAGGATGATGATGGACCACCACTCTTACCAGTAGGCGATGATGATGACTCTTCCTCTGACGAGGAAACAGTTACGAAGAAGAAGCCTGCTGGTCGTGGAAGGGGTGCCACTGCCAACAAGAAGAGCCATCCTGTTGCGAAGAAGAGTCACCCTGTCGCCAAAAAGAGCCAGCCTGTTGCTAAAAAGGGCAAATTTGGCGCCAAAAAGAACAAGCCTTTCGCCAAAAAGAACCACCCAACTACGAGTCGCGTTATTTCCGAACCCGAAGAAGAATCGTCCCCTGTAGTCAGAAAGAAACCCAGATCTTATGGTAAGTTTTTTATTTAAAAAGGTTTGTTGGATAAGTTCATTAAATAGTTATAGTATCTTTTTCCTATTTCTCGTTTTGACGTCAAATCGAGAACATTATTCCCGGATGATCGTGATTTAGTTAATTAGGAAACTCACACGATTCCGTTCCAGCACGAGAGCCTCTCGTATCAAAGAAGAAGGTTGCGCCAAGAAATCCTGCCAAACCCCCTCCTCTGGCAAACATTGAAGCGAAAATAATCTCTGAATTCACCGAAGAAGAGCCCTCGTACGTTAGAAATCTAGTGCAGTTTTGATCTGTTTTTGGGTTCCATTTGATGGGATTTTTTCAAGATAACTTTTTGATTTGATTTAATATCCCATTTATTAACTTTTCAAATTTTACAGGTTTGTGGAAGAAGTTGTTGAAGAGGAAGTTATCTCAGATGCTGACCGAAAACGGAAGAGAAAAGTCGAGAAGGAAAATGTCATGTGAGTATTGTCACATTTCTAATAAACCGAACACTTTTTGTGAATTCCTTCTCTTTAGGCTTGAACAATTAAATTGAATAATTTCAACTGCTAGTAGCCGTTAGTAACCGTTAGTAACCGTTAGTAACCATGCTAGGTTGGTTAAATGCCTTGAATACAATTTGAACGCCTCATGTTTTAATCGGTCAAACTTTCGCCACTTTTTGTGCAATGAAATGAAATCATATATTTTTCAGAGAGACTACAAAAAACAAGATAAAAGTAGTTCCAACTTTACCAGTCGCAGAGGCCTCCATGGAGGAAATGGAACCGGAAATAAAGATTAAACGGAGAAGAACGCTTCGACGGATGGACACGTGATATTATCTAATGGGCTAATGAGATAGTCTAAATCATCGGTATTTTGATCAGCAGTGGAACCTTAAAAGGAATCAGACGTTTTGCCTGCAGCTCAAAGTTATTTCAGAACGAAGTTTTCAGCGAAGTACGAATTTCTACTCGTCCTTTTTACGTTGAATTTTTAAATATTCAAATTGGTAATTTTACATTTTAAGTATACGTATGTGAATAAAATAAGGTAATAAGATCATCTCCTTAGACCTGGTTCTTTTCTGGATTTGTTTTGAAACATTTCAACATTCTTAAAAATATTCACTAATGTTTTAGCTCATCAAGTTATTTGAATTTTGATAACGTGGTGTGTGATGTTATTTGAAACTGTCCTGCACGAAAACTATTTAACTTATATACTGCAAATAAAGTTGGTTTTCATCCATCATAACAATTTTATAATTCTCCGCACATAGCTTATTTAAGAAAAGAAAGTGAATATGTTATTTTCTCATTTTAACCTGATCTTGTAACTGTAAGTCGATGTATTTGATTTAGAGGATTGTTTAGTTTTATGTTAGGTTCGCAGTTAAATATGTCATGACCCGTTCGAAAAGTAACATTGTAATTTAAACAGTTGAAATATATTTATACTCTAAATACCACTGATATGTGTATTTTCGCCAAAATTAACGATAAAATTATAATTATAAATAGGTACTCTAAAATTGTACTCTAAATACAATTATAGTCCGTTACAGCGCGTATGTTGAATCTCAAGAGTGTAATCAGTAATAATATCATGTCAAGATGCTGAACCAGAATGAGGGTGGTGTCTAAGGTTGAAAACTCGTGAGCGCTGCCGTCGTAGTAGATGTTGTCAATTAAACTTTTATTTGTATAACATAATGTTTTTGCGCGTTACTGGATAACATTGAGCATGTTTAGTACCGTGACTGATATATAAATATATCCATTACTTGTCGTGACCAGGAGAATTAATGTATACAGAATTTAGGTTCATACACATTAAAACAGTTCCAAGTTCGCAGTCCGAATCAACAGATCATATTAGTTGATGATGAATGAATAATGATTGAGTCGGCATAAACGTTTGCAATAAAGTGGTTACAATTGCCCTGAAGTAAAATGATTCCTTGCTTGTATATCATGGTGAGAACCAGCACATATATCAATTAGAGAAAGAGGCCGTGAGTATGAGAGATCTGGACGAATGGAAAGTCGGATAAAGAGATATATTGCAGAGATAGGCCGTGAGTATGAGAAGAATGGTTCAGGTTTTGATATCCAGATCAGAGCAGTTAAAAGTTTAAAAACTTTTGTGCTCCTACATTTTACTAAATCGCCCGCCCAAATTTTACTTGACACCCCAGTGCGCGGCGCTCTTTTCGAGCTTCTCGCTCGTGAAAGGAGCGAGCATATTATAGTTAGCTATACCTAGCGAGCCAGGTATAACTATAGTATAGTAATGAGTAAGCCCAAATTAAACTTCCAATCAGTAAATGGTAAAGCCGCGAGGTATTTTATACGTTGATTCGAACTACCTGATGACAAATTGTTAAAGCACTATTAGCAAGCACAAAGCAGTCATAATAAAAATGAAAGGTCGTATTCATGTTTTACTAGCCTGTCACGTGACCAAAACGGTTTTTTGCCCATAACTCTCCAGGGAAGCATTTTTACCCTACGTCATGGGGTGATTCGGAATCAGTGTCCAAAAATACACAGATATAGATGAATTTCATACCCAAAGGGCCTTTTCACAAGAATTTTCTTAAAATTTGTTGTCACACGTTGTATGACCCGCCGCGCACGAATGCGCGGCTCCCCCTGTATCGTAGAAACTCTACACTATAGTGAAGCGACAGTGGGGGTCACCACATGATACAAAAAATTTGGGCGAGCGATTTAGTTGTATCACATTGCGACCCCACGGTCGTTTCACTATCGTCCTGACGATACCTGGGGAGCCGCGCGCACGCAGCGGGTCATACGGGGGGGAAGGGGGGGCAATGGCATAAATGGAGAAAATGGAGAATTACTCATAGGTTTTTCCATTTTCTCCATAGAAATAGTCTCCATTTTATGCCATTTTATGCCATTGAAAACCTGAAACATGTAATGGAGAAAAGTGTAATGGAGAAAAGTGGTTTTCAGAAAAACTTTGAAAAATTTTGACTTAGAAAATTTTTTATTTTTGGTCAGAGTCATTTTCAATACGTACCTCCCGTATCGAGAGCTCCCTTACCTGAGGACCCCAGGCTATTATGTTCATTAACAATAAAGATTTGGCGGAATGACAGGCTGAGCGCGGCCCAGTAAGAGCTCCCGATTCCGAGCTCGTGTTGCAAAGGGGAGGCCTGCCTTCCGAGATCGCATTACCTCGAGTCCAAAATTGTGTATCGAGGGGAAAAAATATTTTCGGCAAATAATGAACAGGGTAGCATTTGATTGACGGTGTCAATCCGTCGAGATCGTTGCTCTGCGAAGCAGAGCAACGATCGTCGACGATCGAAGCAAGAATGCTTCGATGCGAAGCAAGAATGCTAGTTCGCGCGGCGCGTCGAAGCGGCGAAGTCCTCCAAGGTAGCATGAAATGTGGAGAAAAGCGGTTTTCAGAAAAAATTTGAAAAATTTTGACCGAAAAAATATTTTCGGCTTATAGTGAACAAGGGAGCATGAAACGTGGAGAAAAGTGTTTTTCAGAAAAACTTTGAAACATTTTGACTTAGAAAATTACCCCTCGGTACACAATTTTGGACTCGAGGCTTCCCCCTAGCCTGGTAATGCGATCTCGGAAGGCAGGCCTCCCCTTTGCAACACGAGCTCGGAATCTGGAATCGGGAGCTCTCGATACGAGAGGTACGTATCGAGAATGACTCTGGCCGAAAATTTTCTAAATCAAAATGTTTCAAAGTTTTTCTAAAAACCACTTTTCTCCACGTTTTATGCTACCCTCTTCATTATTAGCCGAAAATAGTTTTTTGGTTTTTCGGTTTATCGAAGTCTGCACCTACCCCTCGATACACAAATTTGGACTCGAGGCTTCCCCCTGGTAATGCGATCTCGGAAGGCAGGCCTCCCCTTTGTAGTGCGAGCTTGTTTCGACTTTCGAGGATGTAGGTCTCACTATTCAGTGCCTATTACTCTCCCCTATTACTCACTCCTGCTGTAGCCTGTAGAAATAACTTTACACTAGGCTTGAGTAATTATGAGTTTGCCTGAAGTGTGCCTCTACTAACCTAGTATAAGCATCTAGTAGCCCACTATGAGCTTTCATAAGCTTGTTGCGCCCCTAGTAAGCGTAAATAAACGTGTTAGGATGTCCAATTTAGGTGTTAAATGGTGTTAAAGATGAAATTTCGAAGACAAAATTCATGGCAGAAAATGGAGAATTACTCATGGGTTTTTCCATTTTCTCCATAGAAAAAGTCTCCATTTTATGCCATTTTATGCCATTTTATGCCATTGGCCCCCCCCCCCCCCCCCCCCCCCCCCCCCCCCCCCCGGTCATACTCATACAACGTATGACAACGATTTAGTAGGACTAGGATTTACGAGCGTACTAAATCACTTTACAGTTGACAGTCGATCTTCGAGATTGTTCTAAAAGGGCCCCCGACAGTTGTTGTTGTGAAACCAGCTTTTTTTTTTTTTTTTTTTTTTTTTTTTTGCCGGTACCCTTAAGGGATTTCAAGTCAACTTATAAAATCAAAAAATTCACACACCAAACAATATCTCACTCCCATCGGGCAGAAATTAACCTTTAATAAATCATAGTAAGTAAATGTATAGTCTATAGAATATGCGTATGAAAACTTAGCCTAGTTAAATAAAACCTACTGGTGAGACTTCCTTCACGATTGCTATTCAGCAATGTATGGTCCAAAAATCATCACGGGAAATTATATGAGTAACAATCCCGTTGGCCATACTTCATCAGATCTCAAAAAGTCTGCACTTCGAGTTGCTGTACCAAATTTGAAATTCAGCGAAATCACGCACTTTATTCTAAACTCTTAAACTCAGCCCAATTGCACACAAATCAACAAAGAAGATAACAGATTAATCTGAGTTAATTATCTCTTATATGCATTCACTACACTCAAAACTTTTCCGTCGTTAATATAGTGATACTTCGACGGTTCAGCAGATATTTTCTCCTTTAATTGAGCTACGAGTTTTTTATGTATTGCTTGTTCCTCTCGGTTTCTATCTGGAGCAACGAACCAGCTGTGGTAGGTTGTACAGAGGGACTTTTTCAAATGATTTGCTCTCGAGAGAGCCTCTTTCACTGATTCGTTACTATTCATAGTCACTTTGATTGGCCTCGGCCTACCATCCACCCGTTTCTTCACACCGATACGATTAGCAGCTACAATATCAGAGTGGTTATTGTGTTGCAAAATCTTGTCCAGTACTTCATCTGCTAAATCAGCGGGGCACGTGGAGTAATCCTCCGGAACTCCGTGGACGATGAAGTTCCTGCTCCGAGCGTCGTCTTGAACAGCAGACTGTACTGCTTTCGTCACTGTCTTCAAAGTTGGAGCTTTATTGTCGCAGTTTTTCCTGGCAATTTCACTCCATGTCTTCATCTCCGTTTTAATCTCAGTTTGAACAGTCTCCTGCACAGATTTTAGCTGCTCTCTCTGCACTTTTATCAGTTCTGACTTAACATAATCGATGGTACCGGCTGCAGATTTGCATAAAACAATGTTACTGATCAGTGATTTGGTTATATATATATATATATTAAGTTCTCAATGAGTTTTGCCATCGTGTCCTTGTTACATTTCATGAGTGCTGCATGATTCAGTTCCTCAAATTTTTCAATATTGACAGCGTTCTTCGCAGTATTTGCAGTATTGACAGCTTTTAAAACTTTTTCTACTGATGAATGCAAAGCTTCCTCTTGTGTGTGTAGATCTGCTACGTTGAATTCCATTATCAATTGTACAACAAACGGGCTGTACAGCACGGTGCTGTGTTAAAATTGATAAAACAGCTGATAAGAGACGATTTAAACCGTTGCATAAGCTAGATAAAATGATTGCTACTGAAACCAACTTAATCGCGATGTATTTTCGGACGCTGATTCCGAATCACCCCCCATGACATAGGTTTAAAATGCTCCCCTGACGATATATAGGCGAAAAACTGTCTCGATCACGTGATATGACCGTATATAAGGAAGTTAGTCTAATTTCTCGTTAGGGTTAGAGTTTCAGCATATGCTTTTGTTAAGGATTGGGTTAGGGTTAGGGTTGGGATCAGATAACTGATAAGAGGGTTGGGATCAGATAACTGATAAGAGGGTTAGGGTTTCGAATAGTCGTTCAGGACCAGCTAGAGAACGGGTTGAAAAAGTCACGTGACAGTCTTGTATCACGTGGTGACCCCACTGTCGCTTCACTATAGTAGAGTTTCTACGATACAGGGGGAGCCGCGCACTCGTGCGCGGCGGGTCATACAACGTATGACAACAAATTTTAAGAAAATTCTTGTGAAAAGGCCCTTTGGGTATGAAATTCATCTATATCTGTGTATTTTTGGACGCTGATTCCGAATCACCCCATGACGTAGGGTAAAAATGCTTCCCTGGAGAGTTATGGGCAAAAAACCGTTTTGGTCACGTGACAGGCTAGTAAAACATGAATACGACCTTTCGTAAGAAACCACATTTATTTGACTTCAAAATTGTTCAATCTGAATACGAGCTAATTACGACGAAGGCAGAAGGGAGGTCACAACACTGCGCGCAGGAGTGGACAATGACAGTCGAGTGTAAAGTGATTAATTATCATCCTCGCATTTACCCGGGGACCCTTTACTTACTACTTGTCATACGTTGTATGACCCGCCGCGCACTCGTGCGCGGCTCCCCTGTATCGTAGAAACTCTACAGTGAAGTGACAGTGGGGGTCACCACGTGATACAAGGAGTAACGATGTGATACAAGGGGACCCCAGGCTATTATGTTCATAAACTAGGCAGTGCGCCATCGACAATAAGACGCGCGCGCTGACCATTGAATGGTTTTTTAGCTCTTATTTCGGCCAGCACATTATTTTGGAAACAATCGAAAAGTTATAATACTTCCCATATAACAATTTTGTTGAAATTTGGTCAGCTTACGTAAACACTTATGTTCTACTGAACCTAATTTAGTTTGAGCAATTTCGATGGTCAGAATTTGAGTTATCAACGAATTTATACCTATTTTGTCATTTTTAGACCTCTTAATCAAGGCCAATCTCTCCCAACTAAATTAGGTTCGGAAGTTAAGTATGATTGGAAGGTTCTGACAAATTTTCAGCATGATTCATGTTCAGGAACCGAAGATATGACAGAATAATACGACAAAAATCAACGAATTTCGTCAAATTACGCGACTTTTACACCTAATTTTGCTCCAAAAGCCGCGCACCATCAAATATGGCACCTAGGAGAAACTCACTGATCATTCCAAAAAAGTATAATAAATTTGGTACTGTGAAAATTCTCACAGTCTCTAGAAAACGATGGCACAAAAATTTTGAAAATCCGAGCAAGTTTATTTTTATCGTGCACCGCCTACATAAACATATTGATATAGAAATTCGGCGGAATGACGGGCTGAGCGCCGCCCAGTAAGCTTCGCATCGGCAGTCGCGCGCTACTGCAAGCGAGAGGGCTCTGATTAAAGCATGAAGGCTATTATGTTTTAATATTATATACTATGTACTATATTAATATTATATACTATGTACTATGTACTAGGCCGGTAGTAGGTACCACCGTCCACCATGTATATTAAACACGGTACACAGTACACGATCCCAAGATATTATATTTATGTTCATAATCATAGAATAGCTAGATTAGGCGGAATGACAGACTAAGCGCCGCCCAGTAAGGTACACGGTACAGGTGGGGACTGGGGAATCTATTGAAAATAAAACAGGTTGTGCTGGTTGACAAATTTAAAATTGAAAAGAAACAATTATGAATTCATAATTACAATTCATCATCTGATAATTTTCTGAAGAAAGGGGTATATGGTACAAAAAATGTATGATAAATAGATTAATAGATAAATAGATAAAAAGATTCGACTAGTATTAATTGTAATATAAAAGTGAAAAACTTTCGTTCTGCCCCAGCTAGATTTGTCTCACTTCACACTTCACGCACAAGATCAGAGACGATGATCGTGGCGTACTTCATACTTTAACTTTGGAGGTCTAGAGGAGGCCAGTGTTAGAATTACGGTTAAGTTAGCCGGGTTTATAGGATAAAGTGCTGGTCCGGTCGCGGTGGCAAAACTATTTGAACCAAAATCATTAAAAAACGGTGCTGGTCACTGCACACTAAAAATTGCAAATATGTTTATAAAAAATACAGATAAAAGTTAAACATTAAAAGACAATTCCTATTCTTTAGTTGAATACAAACAATAAAAGCTAATTGAAACGTTCGATCAAGACATCATCAAAAGTAATAAGCATTAGTATTTAAATATTAAATAACTAGTTCATAATTTGTTAACATAATTTCGGTCATTATTATTTATTGGTCATTATTCTTTATTAGTCATTATTCTTTATTGGTCATTATTCTTGTATTTCTCGTACATCCACTCTAAGCAATTTAGACACACACATCGGCTGAAGGTAACATATGCTAGTAACGAAGCCACTATAGCAGGAATCCCCATCATGATAAGGAAAGCTAGCTCTCCATACAGGAAGTCTTTTCCTAGTTGCATGACAAAGAATAAAACACATCCTACTCCCTCAGCGCTGAGAATCGCCGCATATTTCATTGAAATGTCCTTTCGACCTGAGATTTTATTGATTAGTTTAGAAGCACCACCCGGAAGCAGGACTAACGCCTCAAAATGTTTAATTTGCTGTTACAATCAACTAACCTTATCGGACCTTATTTGACCGGACATTAAATGAACGGACATAACTATGAGTATGAACGGACATTAAAATGAACGCTCAAAGGCATTCAAAACCATCAAAAATCCAAATTTTGTCATCTTTTTTTTGGCGTTTTAAAAATTATAGCAGATAATTTGTAAATTAATTGTTCATACGATAAGCAAGAATGGCAGTCGTTAAGCAGTAAAAATGTCAAAATATCTGTAGATCAATGTCTATGATTATGAAAGTTGTGTAAAAACAACAGATACGAAATATGACCAGATTTGATGATCATATCACAGGTCATCTTCCTCAAATGGGTTATCGTGAATTGAATATTCCATGCTTAAACTTAAAGCATCATATCAGTAATACCTGCTTTTTGAAAACAATTATTTATTTGACCACCTCGGTCCTGCATTTTAGTGTAAACTATTACAACATATGGAGGTAAATAATACCTCCGAAGAATTGAACGAGGAAGCCAAAGATCAAGAAAGTGATCATGCCATAATGTGATACTTAGAATGTAGAATATTTAAATTGTGTAATAACTCGTTTTTTATTGATCCAATGATAAAGTTCAGTCCGAATCCGATGATAGACATTACAATTGACTGAAATTAAAAAGTTGTCTTATCCTAAACATGAGTTCGCAGTTGAATAATGTTGGAAAAAATCTCAACGGACTTTAATTTGGACGGACCTTAAACGGACGTAATTTATTTAAACGGACATTAAGATGAAGGCTAGGACCTCCAGCGTTCAATTAATGTCCGTTCAAATAAGGTCCGATAAGGTATTAGAAATATGCACACATGCATATTTAGTATTTATAAATATAATAACACTAAATATGAAATTTAAATTCTTTCTCTTTGGAATTGGTGTAACGTGTGGGTGTGATGGTTGCGATCATTTTGATGGGGTTTTTTTGACTCCGAATCGTTCCAGGTGTTGTCATTCGGCTCAAGTGAGTGATATAGATCCGGCTCAAGTGAGAGATATAGATTGGATGATTTAGTTCGTCTAAAACTGTTGTCTAAATCTTAAAGAAGTTATTGGGGTTGAATATTTTACAATTAAACCAAATATCCTTCTCTAAAATCCTACCTTATTTAGATAATGAGCTTTGAGATACATACGTGACACGTGTTTTTTGTGTGACTAATCTGTGACCAAGCTGACGAAAAATCTTCATTATTGTACCACTTAAAACTTTTAAGATATAAAACATTTAAATTGAATTCCAAACCTACCAAATAATTCTTGACAGGCTGGAGCAATGCAGGTGAAAATCCCGGTACAAAAAGTAACTATACAGAGATTAACTAGGTAACCATACCGACTCCATTTTGTGTAGTGAAGTGAAATAGTTAGAGGACCCTGAAATTAAGAATATTGTTATAATAAAAGAAAACAAAAACAAATTGAGGGTAATGATGAAAAATGAACACAAGTGGGAGAAAGTGGGAAACAGATGGGAAACACTAACAGGTTGGACATAGGAACACAGCGCCCGGGCGGCCTTAAGGAAACACATGTGGTGGATTGGTAGAACTAGGAAAGCCCATATAGGGGCAAAAAAGTCAGACATCAGTATTTTTTCTTAGAAATAAAAGACAAGTGTCGAGGTATATTACAGTCATGACAGTTTACCTAAACAACTGCTAGTACAGCGAACTAACCATAACAAGGAATGAAAGTGTGAAGGTGTATCTCATTCCGATCTGGTCCAATATCATACCCCACGTCAATCTTCCGAACGCGTTCATTACCGAGGCTGAGGAAAACAAAATAGATGTAATAATCTTCAATACATCTCGCAAGGTGAATTACCATTCAATTATCGGTAAAGTTCGGTAAGAGATCAACTGGAAATATTTAACAAATTGACCTGCAGATTGACTCGTATATATTATTATCATAAAGATATAATTCTATACCTAATGCTCCAACCATGTTAAGAAATCTATCGTCATTGATTGCTTCGATTGCTATGACCTTGTACAATTCTGATGAAGTCAGTAGAGTCTGAAATGAAATGTCAGTTTTAAAACAATTTGACTCATTAATCACAACTTGAAATGTTAATAATTATGACAGTTATCGTATCTTTATACCATAGATATATTAGAACAACGAGTAAACACACATACGTGGCCTATTGGTGAAGGGGGCTTCTAAAAACTGTAATTTCTACATAATCTTTATGTGTAAAACAGCTTAAGAGGGCGGAGGGAGGGGGTCCAAATCTGGTTTACTTAATATGTGAATTGTGAATGTTCTCCAATGTTATTTGACACTAACTGTACAATTACCAGAGATAAAGTAGAGACCACGAGGTATAGAACGTAAAACCTTGGCTGTTTCAACGTCTCCTTGATACTGTAATCCGGGTCTGGTTCTGCAGACTCGGCAGATTTGGCAGACTCAGCAAACTCGTCAGCCGCGTATATTTCATAAGGAATATTATCAGGATCAGTGTCCCTCTCTCCGTAGTCTGAGTTCTTGTTCTGTATCAATGGTGATCTCTCTTCTCCTGCTTCATAGCTCTCTATCATGGAGTCAAACAATTTCCTCTCTTCTTCCGGGAGAGGCGGTCGCAGGATAAATAGACCTGTGATAAAGAGGGTTTGTAGGAATTACAGGATAAATAGTTTATTGCGAGAGTTATAGGGAGTAGAGACTACAGGAAAGATAGTTATTAAATACAAATTAATTTGGAATAACTTGGAAAATACCCCTGACTATTAGCTTACCGGGTAAAAATAGCAAAGCTAAGACAAAAGCCCATGCCAGCCAAATGTACTGTGTGTGGTCTATAACTGAGCTATCTACAAATAACATCGCTGTTTCATTTCCACAGCTTACTTCGACTGGTCTGGAGGAAAGTAGTAATAGTATATTAAATATGATAAAGTTTTAAACTATCTTCTTAACTACAAAGAAATACATTTATTGAGAGGGTACTCCATTGTGGATGGCCGTAATCGATTCACAAGCGGGTCACGTCTTCATGATAGCTAATCAGCTTTGATAACGATAACGTTTGAGTTTTATTGTATTTTTATTATAGTCTTGGTTAGTTTATAAATATTTCATAACTTTGAGAAGATCAGTAATTGAACTCACTGTTTGTTGTACGGATTAATGACTACAGTACAGAGGAATGAACCGATAAACCCAGAAATCCCCATAAAAAACCCCATGATTCCATTCGCAGTCCCTGCCTTCCGCGGGTTCCACTCTGACAACCTTGACACCTGAAATAGCAATAAGATATTTAGGTATTTCTTACTGGTAGCAATTATATTTATAACAATTTTAAATTGTGGTATCATTGACACGTTTGCACAAATGAAGGGAGAGTTCTAAAAATTAGAAACGCCAAAATAAAGAACAGTCATTGAAAGTATCTTCTAATAAATAAATTGCTGCCCTAACTTCAAACAAAACCAGTTGAAAACATTTGTCACACTTACATTACAAATGTTAATCTGGCCAGCAAGCGTTCCTATGAAGATCACAGAAATGGTAAGAAAGTAATAAGTTTCAATGTAGTAAGAAACCGCTACCACTGCTACGTACAGGGTGGTAAGAATGAAGAGTAGGAGCCGAACGTTCATGTACTTTTCCAGGATACCCGATATGAACCCTGTTGGGATGTTGCAAATGAAGCTGGTAGCATTTAGAGGTGTAATTATAACGTTAACTTTGGTAAATTACTGGAATAAATAGCTACAAGATTCTGTTGACCGCAATAGTTCCTAATTAAATTTGAAGTTTGTAAGTTCTCTATTGTACTCGTTCAAGTGTACCTGTAAGAGCGATGCCCATGAGCAGTATAACAGGTTGGAGAGACATTGCTGCCTGGCTTGTTATCTCTCCGGTGTTATGGTAGAATAGCGATGATAGATAAGGGAGAAGCGCTCCGTAACTGAGAAATTACAGCAAATAAGTAAGATGAATGTCAGAAATAACAAGATAAATGAGCTAATCACAGATTATTGCAATTTAATTCAGACATAATTTTGAGAAAGAACAGCTCAACATCCAAGCGTAAAATATTACGGTTATAAAATTAAAAATAGATGATTAACAAACTTAATTAAAGCAACATAGTACCTGAAGAAAGGAAGACCCATGCCCGTGGAACCCAAACACACACTAATCAGTATCCACCAGTTGTAATGTCGCTGGAACCAACCCATACTGACCTGTTACCGCCCGCTTACTACCTTGTTGAAACCTAATGGGTGTGGTACGAAATCAACTTTAAATTATTTATCAAATTTAAACTTGAAATTGTAAATGTACACATCTATGAATGCTAATTAAAATCTGTTTTTAACATTATTTTATGGCAAAAACGTATTATATTACATTTACAATGCGGAAACACGCTTTCTTAGAGGAATTAAGTCTCGGAACATGCACTCCTTATTCGACCGGAAAATCAATCCAGACCTTAAATAAGATAAATCGTGAAATTTATAAAGCAAACCCTAAACGCATTCTACACTCACTTAAAAAGAAATAAAACAAAATTTTAATAAAACAAAATTCTAAAAGCTTTACTTATCTTATCTCGCTGCTTGCAAGTGTTTTATCTTTTTTACCGGTGTCTTATCGGTTTAGTGTCTGATCGTTTTAGTGTTACACACTATTACACAATTAGAAAAAAGATACGAATTCTGAATATTCTGATTCCGTCTATCTTGAAAAACTAAGTCTGAAGATTGACTCGTACTGTTATTGATGACAAGTGTTCAACCATAAGCAGGATCCTTACGCTACTTTCAGTCAGCGTCTCAAAACTTTGGTCAATAACAATCTAGAAACCTATCTACAGTAACAACTATCTGTTTGGTCTACTGAGAAACCTTGTGGCAGATCCATGAGGAAATACAACTATGATGACGAAGTATCTCGCTGTTCTGTCTGTCAAAGAATTTATTGACAATCTAGAAACAGCTGAACGTTGCAAATCAGAACACGTTGAGTCAATAGAGGTTTTTGGAGGAGTTTTGGAGTCAGTTTTCAGATTAAAAAACTCACGAAGCTCTTCAAAAGAATGAGATTCAGAACAATATATGGCAAAGAAGCAAACAACAATCGCTCAAAGCTTGCATATTTAACACAGTAGCATATTTGACAATTTGTCCATTTTGTCAATCATAGTCGTTGCACGATGTACACAAGAATTTGAGATATGTAAACGGGTGGGTTTAACATTGTAAAATTGAAATTATTAGTAATTAATAAATTATCATTAATTGATTATTGAATCGTCTGAGTTCAGCTTACATTCCTTTAATTTATATTAGAGATATTTGTTGGAAAAGTTAAAGTCAGAATTGTATGACTTCACTCCAGTCGAGTGTACAAAATAAAATAATCCAACAAATGGACAATACTTTAACACGAAATGTAAACAATTTTCACAATTTAGATGGGTAATAATGAAAAGTCATCAAATATACAATTCCGAACAATTGTATTTAAATAAAGTGGAGACTTTCACTTTGTCCCAAAACATCAATTAATTTTATTTAAGTAAAGTGGAGACTCTCACTTTGTCCCAAAACATCAATTAATTTTATCTAAGTAAAGTGGAGACTCTCACTTTTATTTGTCCCAAAACATCAATTAAATGTATATAAGGGTGTGAGTAATGATAAACTTGAATTTCTGAACTTGCTTTTACCGGTTAAGATGCATGCATGTCGAAACTACTGTATTTTGTGTGATAGAGCAAGATCCAAAGTGAAAACGGATTTCGTTATTTCATTTATCAAATATTTACTTCAAATTTGCTTCAAACGTGCATGGTAAAATAAGCTTACGTAATTACGTATTTATATACGTAAGCTTCCTTTACCTTGTGCTACGCTTGAGCTATATATAGCACAAGCGTGGATGCACGTATTTTCAGGTTTCGACCTGTATAGGGTGTCCGACCCACAAGTCGGAACGTCTCCGGTGGGTTATATCTTTCTCAATTTTGTTTCGACATCTCTGGATTGACGTACACCTTGGAAACGTTTTGAATGGCTATTTCTAATTCTAAATCCCTGATTCTATCTGAATTAACTTCTCCTCAGCTTGATAGTGTTTTGTACAAATTCCAGCTGATTGCTCCGGATGGGTATGACGAGGATGGAAAACGTGAACTACTGCGCAGCAGCAAAGTCTTCATACGAGGAATTGGGGACCAGGCTAATGAGAACATTTTGGCGATATTCAGTAACAAAGGTACATTTGTCGATTTTGAGTCAGTTGATGGAAAGGTAAAAGGAATTTTTGCTAAATCAGAATCTGGTAAGGTGATGTATCCATGTTCTGTTTGCTGTAAAGAGGTTACAGATAGGTCAGATACATCAGGTCTTGGTATCGAATGTAGTGGATGTGGGTGGTATTTTCACACTAGCTGCACATACAAGCCTGTTAGTCTTGACCTTTTTAAAGCTCTTAAGGACTCTCCAAGCTACATCAAGGTGCTGTGCCCCCCATGCAACTCCGTGTATGGTAGTGCTCTCTCCAAGCTGAAGCGTGTGGAGCATAAATTGGATGCTATGGCTGTGAAGGTTAACAGTGTAGAAACTAAGGTAAAACAGGCGGCCACTAAAGTACCCTACAGTACTGCTGTTTCAAATGGTATCTCCAAAAACAGTCCTATCCCACAAAAGGTCATGGAGGGTTTGAAATCTATATCAAAAGCTAAACAGGAGTCTGATGATGTTGAGCGACTCAAACGTACCAGAGTTGTTTTCCGACCAGAAGATACTAACATAAGGACTAGTCGTGATATACGTAAGGCTTTCAATCAGCATTACAAAGGCATGGTGATCAAACATTGTAGGCTAACGGCATCAGGATCCATCACATTTGAGTTTGAAGATGAAAACACAGCAAACAATGTGCAGTCTAAGTGGGAAACAAGTCATTTTGGTGGTAATAAAGGTATCAAAATACCAGGAGACTATAACACTGTGGCCATGGTTAAGCATGTGTATGATGATCACAACGAGGATGACATGAAAAATGAGATTATGCAAAACTACTCTGGTATTGTCACAAAATGCGAATTTCAACGGAAAAGGTCTGATAAATCATTCAATGGAATGATCAAACTTGAATTTTCGTCTCGAGAAGAAATGATGAAGGTAGTCAAAGACAAGATACAGTTTTGTCATCAGCGCTATATTGTTGAAGAGTACAAAAGAAGGTCCAGGGTTATCAAGTGCAACAAGTGCCAAGGTTGGGGACATATTCACCGGTATTGCACCAAGCCAGCTGAGTGTGGAAAATGTGCAGAAAATCATGAAAGCAATAGCTGTTCAATAACCAGTGGGTTCAAGTGTGCACATTGCAACAAAGATCACCAAGCAGGATCATTTGATTGTGCAGTGTACAAAGAGAAATTGGTTAAATTCTCTCATGATGCATTATGATCGATTATAACACTTCAAGTAGAAATGCCCAAAATAGCACAGTGTTTGGTAAATTATGCACAATCAACATCTGCGGACTATCCCAAAGAAGCAACATGATGCTAAGCAAGTATGCGTTTGACAACGACATCCTTCTATTTGGTGTGCAGGAGACAGGTGCTGGAAGCCAATGGAAATCATTAACAAACATGAAAACTTTTGAAGATACAAATAATAATAGCAACAAAGGCTGTGCAATCATGGTTAGACAAGAGATCATGTTCACACAGCTTCCTGTTATCTCAAACATTTCATCAAATATTGACTCAGTTTGGGGAATGTTATCTTGGAACGGCAAAAGATACATAATGGGCAACCTCTATTTGAAACTGGACTACCTATCAGGTGTGAAAGAGATGTTGGTTATGCTTGATAAGGCTCATGAAATGAGCAAGCTTCACAAGTGTACAGGTGTGATTGCTATGGGGGATTTTAATGCTCGCCACTTTATCTGGAATGATACTGTGGTAAATAAGTATGGAAAATATATTGAAGAACATCTAGACTGGTCCAAGTTCTGTGTCCATGCACCTTCGTCAAGCACGTTCTTGGCAAGGAATGGGAGCAGCCATATTGACTTTTTCATCACATCCACACAGCTCGATAAGTATATAGATCATCCAATTGCAGATCACTTTGCTAACTTGTATAGTGGGGCTCCTTTGAGAGGTCACGTTCCAGTATCAATCAATGTTCAATCACAACCTGTGGCAATCAGGTCAGAGAATGTTCAGAAGTATAACCTTCAGTCAATGGACTGGTTTAAATGGACTAGAGACATTGAGATTGACTTGACACTCGAAAAAACCGATAGCTTAGCAACTGATGGGACTATCAAGGAATTGCTGGAAGTTATTAACACAGCTATTGATGTTTCTACAAAAGAAAACTGCCAAATGAAATGTGTCTCCAAACACAGTAAACCTTACTGGACCCCCAAGCTATCTGTGCTTTCTGGGAAACTAAGATTCGACCTCAAATCGTATTTAACCAGAAATACAGACACTGCATTTGAAGCAATGCAGACCTCAAAGAAGGAATTTGAAGAAGCAAGAAAGCAGGCATGTCAGCAGTTTATCCTTCGAAAGACAAATGACCTGAACACCTCTCAGGCAAAAAAGTTCTGGAAAGAGTTCAATAAGCTCTTCAAACCCCCATCTGATCAAATGGTTGAAGCTCTTATCTCAGAGGATGGAACTATTCTCACAGAAAATGCTGACATAGAGAAGGAAATGTTTGGAACGTTTTTTCACGCTAAACACATAGTTTATAATATCGATCAATTTGATGATGTTTTCTATCAGGAAATAAACAACCTGTATGACGACATCAAAAACAGCAATTTCCTGCCCAGTGAGGATATGGCAGATAGATTTACAAGCAGCTCCGCCCTTTACTACCCGGTTACACCATGGGAGATCACTGCTACTCTGAAAGGTATTCACTCTACAGCGGCTAGTTTTGATAATCATGAAGTACATCAGTCTATGCTAAAGAAACTAGGTCCAAATGCAATTCATGCACTAAGCAGGCTCTTCACACTCTGCTTGCGTAATGGACTTTGGTTGTGGAACGACTCTAAGATCGTGTTCCTCAAAAAAGATGGAAAGTCCTCATATTCCAAAGCAGGTGCATACAGGCCAATTTCAATCTCCTCGTATGTAGGCAAACTGCTTGAACGAATCTTGGCACAACGACTTGAGGTATATCTAAAGAAAGTGGGAATTATTGATGTAAATCAGGAAGGTTTCTCCAAAGGCAAAAACACTATCAGATACCTCAATAGGCTGACTGCGGGTATTAAAGGTGATATTATGAAGAAGCTTACGGTACTTTGTTTGTTCATTGACTTCGAAAAAGCTTAAATTGATTCAGTGTGGAAAAAAGGTCTAGTTGTTAAGCTCTGGAGAGCTGGCGTTCATGGCTGCTATCTTAAAACTATAGACAGCTTTCTGTTTAGTCGTACAGTTTGCCTTCTAATAAATGGATTTCTCGGCCCAGTTAGAGACTGCCTGGACTATGGGTTACCACAAGGATCTGTGCTGTCTCCTATTTTGTTCAAATTCTTCATTATGGATATCGAGGCTGTCTGTTCAGTGTACCAACAGATTAGTGTCTTGAAGTTTGCTGATGATGGGACAGTTAAAGTGGTTGGCAGAGACTTAGAAGAGTGTCTTTTCTATCTCAACCTGGCTATGGACAGCATTGAATATTGGACATCTTGTTGGCGCCTGGTTATAAACTGTGATGCAAATAAGACTGAGATTATATGCTTCAACTCATATGATCAAGCCGGAATCCCAACCTCATTCAACCTAGGAGGGAAACTAATTCATCTAACAGATCAAACGAAAGTTCTGGGTGTCATACTAGACAGTAAGTTGACCTTCAAACAGCACAGCAAGCATGTCTACAATAATCTAGTCTACCGCTGGGTTTGTATGAGTCGTTATGCAAACAGAAACTGGGGCATGAACCAAGCAGTGCTAGTTAGAGTTGCCAAAACCATTCTCTTCTCAACACTGTTCTATGGATCTATTATATGGATGAAAAATTCAAATATGACAGACATAAACAAACTGTGGTACAGAGTGTCTAAAGCTGCAGTCGGGGCTGTTTTCAATGTACACGGGGCCATTCTTGAAGTCATTCTGGGTGTACCACCACTCCAAACAATGGGGAGAGTAATTTCGATCAAACATTACCTTAAGGTTCTCCATGACTCAGACGACATTCATTTTGACTTCGTGAGAACTCAACTAGATGAAATGAACCCAACAGTACTCTTCCATCTTCGAGACGTGCAGAAATTCTTAATATGGAAAGTAGAACATTTCAGCACTGAAGGTCAGACCTGTGACTTAACCCAGAGAAATCTAGAACAAGTTCTGTTACTACCCAAAAAGATTTATAAGTACACTAAAGGAATGATGCAGCAATTCACAGAGCTTCTTTGGCAAGAGAGCTTACAAAACCTACTTCTGACGGAAGGATGGTCTGAAATTCCAAGAGTCTCCTGCAACCCCCTTCCTATCCCCTTTGGAGTGAGCCGCGAAGTGGAAGTATTAGTTATGAGTCTCATGTACAAGAACAATCTACTGAACTCGTTTCTCTTCAGAGTTGACAGAGCAGTGGCCTCTCCGCTATGCATCTGTGGCTCGGATGAACAAACAGCACTGCACCTACTATCAAGTTGTGAGCTTGTGGACGCGAATCTACAATGTCAAGCTGAACGAATCATCACCCTGTGTAACAGCGGTAGGTCCATGGTCGATCTAGCAGCTGAGCAGGGCTCCATCATATTGAACTGTTCAAGGGACGAAATGTTTATAAGTGTGTGCGTTGAAATTGTAGAAAGCAAGGGGCTACATCTTAAGTGAAAGATTAATCTTTCGAAAAGATAAGGGTTTATTATAGCATCTAATTTTGCTAATTTTGCTACTACTATGATAAAGAATGAAATACCAAGTATATTGAAGTGTAGTAAAGTGTTATTGGACTTTGCTTATTTGAAAACAAACACCTTTAAATTAAATATTGTTTTAATAACAAGGGAATGAGTTTTTCTATTTGAGCTGTTTAGTTCAAAGAAAAGCAGATATATGGACTGCTTTAAAACTTTTATTTTGGAAAAAGTTTGTTTCAGTAACCATTGAGAACCAGTGGCCTTTTGTAACTGCATCTTTAACCTCAGTTTAACTTTGAAACGTCAAGTGACTGGTAAAGTCAAATATTGTGTTCTATGAACATTTATTCTAGTATTTTGAAGTGTAGAAATTGTTAAGATCTTTAATTTTGTACTAAATTACTGATGTTTTATAACGTTTTAACGGGGTGTAATTTTGTTAGGTAGGTATTTAAAATTATTAGTCTTTTGGAAATTGAAGTTTTGATCTTTACTATTTATTGTTAATAAAATGCTCATTGTAGCCAGTTATTTTAAGATTTTCATCATCATCATATACTCGACCAATTGATCAAAAGAGCAACCTTGAATAAAATCACTTTGACATTCTTCTCTGACATTCTTCTCATCTGATATAATTGAAGCATGATAAAACCCTCACCAGTTACCCATAACTCTGAATAATACTTAGCAACAGTAAATAAATTAAAATAAATTAAAATAAATTAAATTAATCTGAAAATAAGATAAACTTTGACTATAACGATCTCAAAGAGGGTAACGTCAGCCTATTATATTATACGGTTATAGTCGCTGAACAGTAACATATAACTAATTACTATTATCAATATATATCTTTTTAGAGATAATAAACATCAATTCAATTTGAGATAATCATTCACTAATATTTCATCCTATAATTATAAACAGGCGCAACAATTATAAATCAGTAACTGTAGGCGGTGACACAAACAATCAATAAATAAATTGGTAAAATTAAAGTGAATCAACAAATAAATGTAATTAATGTATTAATAAATGAAATTTTAAGTTAACATAAGCTTGACAAAGCTTATTGAGTACAATGTTAAAATCAATAATGGAATTAGAATTGAAGCAACAAAACGATTCAAAGCAGATGAATTCAAAAGATTTTATTCTTATTTTATTTTATTCAGGAAAATATCATATCAAATTATTGAAGCAACAAAACCGTAATATTTGTTATCAAAGAAAAGGGCTACGAGAATTCAGTTTAGAAACTGTTCTATCACAAATATACTAATATATACTATATAGATTTAAATCTTCATGTTCTCCGATTTAACTGAAATTTAAAGTCCTCAGAAGCTATTTAATCGCAAAGAGTCATTGGCATTTCTCGAGTGCAAGCGAGGCGAAAACATCCTGCATAGTTCATAGTTGCACAAACAATGAGAGTCCGAGTAAGGATACGGTAAATGATGACGTCGCGTAACACTGTGATGACATCACGTGAGTAAAGGTTACACGGTGTGTTCGAGGACAGGGGCACCCTTTATCCCCTCCACCGAGCGGGGGTCTGCTTGAAATGCCAGAGCAACTATAAGCTTGTGATCAGGAACTACCCCTGCTGGATACACAACCTGGTGGGATGGAGAGTTAGATTTACCTTACTCGGGAATATTATGACTGGGATAAAGTGGTGGGTTTTGGAACATTCCGCCATATTTTTACCGGTCATTAATTTTTCCAGTCATAAATTAACCCGCTATAATGTTCCCGAGTAAGGTAAACTAATAGTAATACATTTTGATGCTTGGTGGGTTTTGGAAAATTCCGCCATATTTTTCCCGGTCATTAATTTTCCCAGTCATAAATTAACCCGCTATAATATTCCCGAGTAAGGTAAGTGAAATCTGGAAAGCGAAAGCAAAATAAGGGACTATAGCATCAGCGATATAATTTGTTAAATGTGATAAAGTGAAAGTGAAAACACGTGACCTGCATAAGCTCTCTTGGTTTTATCAGATGAAACTGAATCTTATTCACCAGCTGCTGGAGTACCGTCTTCATATCCCTTCCTGAACAGTTGCAAAATCAATTAATTATTTAATTATATATATTTTAAAACTCATTTAGTGCTCTATATACAATTCTATATAATAATTCATTCAATCACGACAGGTTAATATCAAAATTTATAAAATCTAGATTCTAGGTGGCTTAATTTGTAAACGCTTCAGCCTACCTTCCTGTTTAGCACAGAAGTTCTTGCCCCATCTGATGGCAGCGTTGAACTTGGCGATCTCGTCAATATCCAGGTCACGTGCAAATACCAGCTGCAGCACGTGTTCTGATAGGTTACAAAACGAGGGCAGACTCAGTACCTGCCGGGAAACGTGGAGGTAGGATCTGTTGAAACAGGAGATAAGATCTGTGGTCATGGAAACAGGAGGTAAGATCTGTTGTCATGGAAACAGGAGGTAGGATCTGTTGTCGTGGAAACAGGAGATAAGATCTGTGGTCATGGAAATAGGAGATAATATCTGTGTCATGGAAACAGGAGATAAGATCTGTGGTCATGGAAGCAGGAGATAAGATCTGTGGTCATGGAAACAGGAGATAAGATCTGTGGTCATGGAAACAGGAGATAAGATCTGTGGTCATGGAAACAGGAGATAAGATCTGTGGTCATGGAAACAGGAGATAAGATCTGTGGTCATGGAAACAGGAGATAAGATCTGTTGTCATGGAAACATGAGATAAGATCTGTGGTCATGGAAACAGGAGATAATACATGTGGTCATGGAAACAGGAGATAAGATCTGTGGTCATGGAAACAGGAGATAAGATCGTTTGTCATGGAAACAGGATATAAGAACAGATTGCCAGTCAAGTGGCTTGTTTCACTTCATTAAGTAAATATTGAGGGGGGAAAAACCGTAACATTATTTAATCATAAACAAACGTACATCACGAATGTTCTGATCAATAAACTCGAGGAGTTTCTGTAGCATGCTTTTAACACTTTTATACTGGATGAAAAACTCCATGGCGTTCAGCATGTCTATGATGGTATCGAAGGATATGGCTGACGGTAGGATCTTTAAACACGCTTCTCTTAGTTCGGGCAGGTCAAATCTGGGATGAAAAGGTTAACGTGATAGAAGTGTAGTAGTAATTAGTAGTAACCTGGTAACCTAGTTACATAGCAATCTGGTAACATAATAACCTGGTAACCTATAAATTTACCTGTCTGCTGCAGCTATGAGACTGGGAAGATGACTTGTAACGATGTAGCAACTGCCAGTGTGTATATACTGCAGTACAACACTCATTACCTTACAGTTGAACTCTTCCACTGTCACCTGTTAAACACAAGGATATATTTTGTATAAATGTTAAATACATGTCACATATTAACATACTGGGATAACAGGGTGTTTCTAAAGTCTTGCAAGGATGTACTTTTAAATAACTTTTTATGCATTTTTCTAAACTCCATTATGTAAAAAGTTACTGATAGTTCTGAGGTTTAATGGTGACTTCTGAATTTTGTACGTTGCGAAAAACATACGCAAACACTAAAACTCGTACCTTAGGAAGAGTAATCTTGTGTTTCTCGCCGTGTATTGAAGTGGACCCCTTCTTCCGAGGATAGTCTCCAGGATTCAAGTTGTACTCCCTTCTCTCCTTCGGTCTCAACAAGCGGCTGTCAAAGTCATGCAGTGGTGCGTTAACCAGCAGCTTCTGAAACACCCTAAGGGGAAGGGATTTTGTTAACCAGCAGCTTCTGAAACACCCTAAGGGGAAGGGATTTTGTTAACCAGCAGCTTCTGAAACACCCTAAGGGGAAGGGATTTTGTTAACCAGCAGCTTCTGAAACACCCTAAGGGGAAGGGATTTTGTTAACCAGCAGCTTCTGAAACACCCTAAGGGGAAGGGATTTTGTTAACCAGCAGCTTCTGAAACACCCTAAGGGGAAGGGATTTTGTTAACCAGCAGCTTCTGAAACACCCTAAGGGGAAGGGATTTTGTTAACCTGCAGCTTCTGAAACACCCTAAGGGGAAGGGATTTTGTTAACCAGCAGCTTCTGAAACACCCTAAGGGGAAGGGATTTTGTTAACCAGCAGCTTCTGAAACACCCTAAGGGATTTTGGAATTATTGAGTACAACAAGTCTTATCATAATTCTGTGGTTTATTTTGTTCCAGTATAACCAACATCAATGTTCTGGAAATGACGATTTAACAGTAAGCGAAATATTTAAAATATTGAAATAAAAATAGTACCTGCAACGAACAGCCATTATGGCCCGTATGCCAAAGAGAAGACTTTTACTCTTTCCAGCCACAATGACAACGTCGCACAATTCTAAAAGAGAACGAGAGTCTAAATAAAATTGTTATGACGATAAACTTATTTCACCACCCATCTATAACTGTAATGCCAAATCCCGCCCCCCCCCCCCCCCCCCGATTTACCTCAAACATTTATTTTACGCGGATGATTCCTTTCCCCGAATTTATCTTTCCCCAAATGTATCTAGCTAAACACAAGGAAACATTTTTAATCACCTGTTATTGTACTAGAAACATATTCGTTCTCCAGATCTTTGCCGAGCTTGTTGGCGTTCTCGTACCTCTCAAATACGGCGTCCAACAGCGGTGACTGGGGTCTAACTGCACCGAACGGAAGCCACGTTCCTCGTCTGAGAGAATGTTCTGAATTTATTCATCTGACATTTTGTATTCGATGCTGGGTTATTCGGATGAACTGTTATGGTAGAAATGGATGAAAATGACACCAGAAACTTAAATCAAACAGCTTATTATAGAAATAAATACTAAAATGTTAAGAATGCTAAGTTCGTAACAATTACCCATTTTCCATGTGACATTCTCGCTTCTTTGACTCTGTATCCATTCGAAACTTTTGCACTAAGTCTCCTACAACAATATAAGTTATAAACTTTAGGTCTTATTGGCAACATATCGGCTTAACCATAAACAGAAATTCAAGAAAATGGATTTATACAGAATTTCAAGATTTACCAAAAATAAAAAATGTGCCATAAATGAATGAAAATTTTAGAGCCTTCGCTTCACTAAGCGAGTTGTTGGAAGAGATAAAAACGTTTTATGAAGCTACCCAAGCACAACAATGAGTATTTCCCCCAATTACTAGGTTCCCCTACCTTTAATTAAAGAAAGGCCCACACTGTCGAGTGTCAGTGTTACTTACCTAACATCTGGTGTCTTGTTCGCTCTATCATAATCTTGAATTTAGATGCGTTATATGCAGCATGTTGACCGTTAACAATCTTGCAAAGTATGAAGTCTCTGAATGCGTTGTCCTGGAGATTGGTTGGTTTTTTAAATCATAAAAACAATATAAACACCAGTTATCGATGTTAGCTGAAGTATAAGAATATAAACCTTTCCATTCTGCAAAGACTCAAATTTCACGGAAAAATCTAAAACTAAATTTGAAATTAAGAAATTGTTTAGTGAAGAACAAAGACCAAATTGTACCCTTTGAAATACGTAGTCAGGACTGCACTGGGCACCAAACAGTTGGACACCATTCTTCGCAACGAGTGCAACCTGAAATGCAGATATTTGTTATCAATAGGTTCCAAATGAATTACTTGAAGTTTTGATCTCATTGCTTTTTAAAACTTTACCGAGCTCGCAGAAGAATTTGCTTTGACGTGAAAGTTAGTGACAGACACTTCGTTGTCTCTCTTTGTAACGATATTAATTTGCTCCTAAATTTCTTTAGTATATCACTTTGGTTTGTTGACAGGTCACAGGAGAACCGAAAATGGTTCTAATTTTTTATCAACTTATCAGTAAAATGGTCTGGCGAGATATTTTATTGCAGTTCAGATATTAACAGACTTCAGTTTGACGCTAAGATATAACCTCCCCATTCCAAAGTCATTTTCGTTGGTTTATTCTCATCAGTATGCCATGTTGCCAGTGTAAAACGAAGCGTCTTTGATAAGCACAAACGGCGTTAAAAAATGATGCGTGCGCGCGGTGTTCTGTATTTTAAAATAAGCGCGCCATCCAAAAGCGTGCAAAATTTGATTTCGAAATCGATCCCCCAACCTAAACATTTATGCCATATACGGTTATAGATACCACGCAAAGTAACTTATTAAAGAGAATGGGCTTGTAACTTTTGAGAGGGGCATGTGATCATTTTCTTGGATTTAAAACAATCATCATGTACCTTGGTGGAAAAAGAAATCTGCGCTAAAGTATGACATCAAATATAGATTTGGGGATGATACCTGGATAAACAAGAAACGCTTATTTGGTATGATATGACACTGCTGATAAGTGACACAATAGGGCTGCTGTCGGGGTGTAGGCCGAACGAGCACACATTTTACAGATCTGGCCAAATTATAGCATTATTGTGAACTCTGATGTGATACTAACATCTGACGGCTGGTGATTTATGGGCTTAGTATTTTATATGTAGGTAGTACGTATGTTTGTGTGTGGATAGTGTGTATATTTACTTTGAATTCTATGTCTCCCCTTATCTAGTCGTTGGTAATTTAGATTATTCTCTCTCAGGCTGTTACTTAATTTGATAACTACTTTCACACTACTATATTAATAGTTGTTATAACAACAAGTTTGAGGGATTCTGATGAAAAGTTACAGAAAAATCTATAAAACTTCATTAATTTCTTTTTATTAGAACGTCTTCTCACTTATCCAACAGTTAAACTGGTTAATAACATATTTGATTAGTTAATCGGTTAATTAGCTAATTTCAAATTTGGTATAAGTCACATTATAGTCCTTGCCTGAAACCGGACAGACTAAGATAAAGACGTGACGAAGGTGACACTTAATTAAACAAATAGTTAATTGGTTAATTATTTAATTAGCTATGACTCACATTATATCCACCGCCCGCTACAGGCCTGACTACGATAAAGACATGAAGAAAGTGAGACTTGATGCAGGAGGGTCTGAACCGTACTGTTGGTCCATCAAGGAACACAACACACACTATGTCGTTACCTATGTGTCTCTTTCTCTGCAGCTGGGGAGGAGATAATTAATTAAGTAATTATCTGATTAGATAATTAATTAGATTACGTCCGAGATAAAATATGAAGAACGCAATTTCCATTTTGTATATCTTTAATGATCCAACAGCTATTCTGAGGACAGTATAGTTAATTTATTAATTTATACACTTGACCAGTCAAGTGTAAGGTTATCAGATCAATTCTTAATCCATAAATAAACATAACTAGGACGCTTGTCAAGAAGGTCGCACATAGATTTAAGTCAATTTATCTGTGCAATATAACAAAACAAACATCCCGAAAAGTGTGGACATTTTATTAATTTACCTGCTGTAGATCTTCGTAAGAATATGGCAGAAGTGTGGATACGTGAAACATGAACTCGCTTCCTGAACACAAGGAAATATTTCATAACATTAACTTACTACTCAAACACAAGAAAAAGTTTGAGAATATAAACCCAATATGTGAATGTAAAGGGAATCCGGAATACATATCACAAGTTTGAGAGTGTGGATACTGTGGTAGGAAATTGCATATTTCTTTCTGCATTTTTATGTGAAACTTTGTAATATATAACGTAATCACTGAGGGGGAGGGAAGGGGGTTCTAAATGAATATGCGAGTGTGATTTCAATACAATAGCTATGTGTAATACTGATTGCCGAGGAGGGAAGTAGGTCAAAAATTGGCCAACAAGTGATTATGTAACATTTGACGTGTTTTCGCATCTTTGTGGTAACTTTTGTTGAAAGTTTCAAAATATTGTTAAAAAGTAAACCTCGCCAAGTAGTATAAACAGACTCAGTGCCGGTCTGATTGCTGATAGCATCCAGTCCGCCCCTAAAACCTTTGAACCCCTTCAGTGTCACCCTGAAATATTTGAAATACTTTAAATGTCACCCTGAAATATTTTAAATACTTTAAGGGGTAAAGGGGAGATACACCAAAAAAGTTTTTGCTCCGAACATCGATTTTATTTTATAATATGGTTAAATAGACAAAAAGAATAAGATTGCACACCTTCAAAATTTTCTAAAAATATTCCCTCATCGAGAAAAAAAAAATATTTTTCTTTTTCGAAAATTTTTAAAATTTGGAGAAGTCTGTCACTGTAATACCGATAGTTCGGCCATTTTAAAAGTTTTTTGGCTGATTTTTTACTGAACATTACTTACACTCCGTACAAGACAACCCTATAAAGGATTATATAATTGAACAATAAATGACCAAGTTACAGACCGAACAAGGTGAAAAAAGAAAAATTGGGATTTTTGCCTACCACCAAAGTTGTTCATTTTACCACTCGCCCAGGTCATCGGATATCGCTTCAAAAATTCTTGTGAGTGTAGTTGATGATCATGGAAAGCTTTTTGGAACCGGATTTTTCTCAATTTTGAGTTTTAAGCTATGAAATGTGGCCTAAACGACTTAGTAAAATTCATCGTAAAAAAGGGCCAAACATGGCAGATTTAAGGCTTAAAATGCCTATAACTCAAAAAGTATCAGTTTTTTTGAAATAATTTTTACAGGATCGTTATCAGCTTGGTAAGACAGATCTTTTAGTACCAAATTTATAATAGTTCAAGACACAAAATTTGTAAAAAAATGTGTACAATTTGTACAAAATTTATACAAGGGGGGACCCTTGTGTTCGAGCTGGAAAATTATTTAAGACAATTTGTCTTCTAAAATCACCTATTTGGTGCTAAAAGATTCGTCTTCTCAAGCTGATTACGATTCTGTAAAAATTATTTCAAAAGAACTGATACTTTTTGAGTTATAGGCATTTTAAGCCTTAAATCTGCCATGTTTGGCCCTTTTTTACGATGAATTTTACTAAGTCGTTTAGGCCACATTTCATAGCTTAAAACTCAAAATTGAGAAAAATCCGGTTCCAAAAAGCTTTCCATGATCATCAACTACACTCACAAGAATTTTTGAAGCGATATCTGATGACCTGGGCGAGTGGTAAAATGAACAACTTTGGTTGTAGGCAAAAATCCCAATTTTTCTTTTTTCACCTTGTTCGGTCTGTAACTTGGTCATTTATTGTTCAATTATATAATCCTTTATAGGGTTGTCTTGTACGGAGTGTAAGTAATGTTCAGTAAAAAATCAGCCAAAAAACTTTTAAAATGGCCGAACTATTGGTATTACAGTGACAGACTTCTCCAAATTTTAAAAATTTTCGAAAAAGAAAAATATTTTTTTTCTCGATGAGGGAATATTTTTAGAAAATTTTGAAGGTGTGCAATCTTATTCTTTTTGTCTATTTAACCATAATATAAAATAAAATCGATGTTCGGAGCAAAAACGTTTTTGGTGTATCTCCCTGAAATATTTTAAATATTTTAAATCTCCTCCTGAAATATTTGAAATGCCATTAACTTCTCTTACATTGGTTAAACAGCACCCTAGTGCATACCTAACTGCATAATCAGCATAAATAATGGAACCCTTAGCAGGCCCACAACCATATGTGTCAAATCATACTTCATTGACTGACAGGAAATATTTCCCGATGTCGAAGACAATTTGGCACTTTACTTGGCAGTTTAATTCTTCTAGCTTCACTGTATACTTATATATTCTACTAGTGTAACCCGTGCCTACGGCCGGGACTTCACTGTTGCAATTGAAATGCAAAAGTATAAACCCGCCTATTAAATAAGAAAACACGCATTATATTGTCGTATGGAATTATTAACTCTCTCTACAGTCCAAACATACCGCAATGAGTGCCCCCTCCCCTAATAAGCTTATAAGACGATAGTGAATCTTACGCGGCAAACCTAGTTATGATTCATGTACCAACGCTACATATGCAGCTACATATTTAGTAATGGAAGAGAGAGCAAGGCGAGGAGGGAGAAAAAGAGAGCCATTTATGTCATATTTTTGGTACAAAACCATCAATTAAACCACTTACCACAAACCGATTTAAAAAACCCTTTTTCATTTGGCTTCGTCAGAGTTTTCATGGCACTATACCGAAAAAGCCAGTCTCATAACTCTTACCGTTTTCTTGACACGCGCACAGTCACACAGACAGACATACACACATTCTTAGATTAATGTTTAATGTAAGGCCCACAATGTTATAAAATTAGGATCAATAAAGTATCATTTGGCTTCGTCGAAACTATACCGAAAAAAAACCAGTCCCGTAACTCTTACAGTTTTCTTAATTAGCCGCTCAGAAATTACACGCGCACATACACACAGACAGACAATAGACATACAGACAGACACTCTCTCTCTCTCTGTTCTGGTCAACGGTTTCTGGCCTCTTACTAAAAGATGGAGGCCTTCTCACCGTGCCCACAGAATGCAACTCCTGCTAGCTGCACGCCAGGACTCCCAAAGTATATACGAAATCATAAAATAATAAATATCAATGCAACAGACCCTGAGACCCCTGGAGTCTTGAAGCTGTCACTACCTGTCTCAGAGCAAACCCACTTCCGTTGTAGTACTTCTGCGGGCAGACAAGGGACTTCCGAGCAAGGTCAAAGCCTGGGAGATATGTCTCTATGCGGAGATGGGCCTAGGTTGAGTTCCTAATATGGGATTTAGCGAAAGTTCCTGGTGAAGAATCCTTGTAGGTTACCCAAAAGGGTTTTCCCTATCCAGTCTTGTCGACTGTTCCACAAATTTGAAGATTGTATGATTGTAGTTTACTGTTTTTAAGGTAGAGTTTACCAATTATCCTCATTCTGAACGTCATGATCTGGATGCACTTGCAGAGGAGGTGCTGGGATGTTTCTGCTTCTCCTGAAAAGTGTTCACAATCTTGCGTCTCGAAGTTGACATTGTTTGCCACGTTCTGAAAATAAACTAGTGGGCTGTGACCTATCCTGAAAGCGACCATGTAAGCCATCTGATGTGAGTTCCAGAAAAATTAAAGTTCCTGTATTTATATTTGTGAAGGAACATCTCAAGTGGAATGTTCCTTTGTCACTGAGTGTGGCCTAATTGGGAGGAAGGGTTCTGGTCCTATGGGGATGTTGTTGGATTGATCGTCCCTTGCGAAATCGTCCGCTAGTTCTTTACCGTATACTCCTTCATGTCCTGGAACGAAGTTTTGCTCGATGAGAATACCTAGTGAGTTGAGTTGGTCTGAGATGTTCAGAACGAACCTGGAGTTAAAACTGGTGCTGTTAAGCGCTTTAAATGCAGCCTGGGAATCTGAGATCCTAAGTTATCATTAGTCCAGATACTTGCCATTGTATAACGCAAATAGCGGGTACGATTTACTCAATGAACCTGAAGAAGGAATATCTGTCCTGAAATGATACCATGTATGGTCGAGCTAAAAAATGAATCAAAAGTTAGAGTAAATCGTTAAGGACACGTTCATTGAAGTTTGAGGAAATTGGTAAATTTCTAAAACAGCGTTTTTGACGATAGTGGTTTAATTTTAACATATATTAATCTAGCGTGTTCATAAGTTCTGAACATTAGCCACGTGACCCATACTCCCATATGCACTGCTCAAAAATAAAATGTATTGCTTTTAGGCACTATTATGTAAAAAATGTCACATTTTTGTGACATTGTTTACCATAGCTGCCCAATTAGCATTTTTTGGTCTAAAATATAGTAGATTAGGTCAATCTAACAATTATGATACAATGTAGGCCTAAAGGGCAGTGATCGAACGGCTTTAAGGCAACATTTCGTAAACTTTGTCACACTCAGAATACGAGACCTCTTTTCTACTGTGAGGTGTCCTCAAAACCCTTTCAACTCATTATTTGATAGTTCTTCTGCCAATCATAGCCCTAAAATATGTTGTTTTGAAAAATTAACAAATACATGCACTTGGCTATTGGGAAATGATGTAAATTCTGTCACATTATATGGAATTTGAAATTCTTGGTGAATTTCCGAAATCATTTATATCTGATTTTGGTTTGGAAGGCGGGAAAACTCTATATGAGGACGATACACGGATACAGTTGATTGAAGTATAGGGCAGTTGATGTAAACATCGTCACAAAATGATACGAAATCGTTAATGGACACGTTCATGTTGAAGTTTAAGGATATTGGTAAACCAAAAAAAATAACGTGTTCAGAAGTTCTGGACATTAGCCACGTGACCCATACTTCCATATACACGGCTCAGAAATACAATTTATTGTTTTTAGGTACTATAATGTAAAAAATGTCACATTTTTGTGACTGTGTTAACCATAGCTGCCCAATTAGCATTTTTTTGGTTTAAAATATAGTACATTAGGTCATTCTAACAATTATGTTACAACATTTGGCTAAAGGGCAGGGATCGAACGGTTTTAAGGCAATATTTCGTAAACTTTGTCACACTCAGAATACGATACCTCTTTTCTACTGTGAGGTGTCCTCAAAACCCTTTCAACTCATTATTTGATGGTTCTTCTACCAATCATAGTAAAATATGTTGTTTTGAAAAGTTAGCAAATACATGCACTTATTGGGAAATGATGTAAATTCTGTCACATTATATATGGAATTTAAAATTTTGGGTGAATTGCCGAAATCATTTATATCTGATTTTGGTTTGGAAGGCGGGAAAACTGTATATAAGGACGATTCAAGTTAAGGGCAGTTGATGTAAAAATTGTCACAATAATAATAAGGGCAGTTGATATGAAAGAAAATCTATCTAACTAATGCAATGGCTGATGTGACGAAATTTACATTTCTTGACCCTATTTTGAAGAAACATGCCTCGATTAGAATTCAATATTCTTCCAGGAATTATTGGTAGGTTATTATTCAGCAAATCAGAACTCAAGTTTAACAATTCTGAGTTTAATTTTACTAAGTTACCGAAATGTGACGAAATTCACTTTTCCTGCCCCAACAGTATAATTTCAATGTGATGAAAAATGGGCATGGGTTTCTATATTTCCTTATCTCTGAATTAATCATTTCAAACTATAATTAGGACTGTTGATGTGAAAGAAAATGTATCTAAATTTTACAATGACGTATTTGACAAAATTTACATTTCTTGACCCTATTTTGAAGAACCATACCCCGATTAGAATTCAATATTCTTCCAGGAATTATTAGTAGGTTATTATTCAGCAGATCATCAGAACTCAAGTTTGACAATTCTGAGTTTAATTATACTAAGTTACCGAAATGTGACGAAATTCACTTTTCCTGCCCCAAAAGTATAATTTCAATGTGATGAAAAATGGGCATGGGTTTCTATATTTCCTTTATCTCTGAATTAATCATTTCAAACTATAATTAGGACTGCTGTTGTGAGAGAAAATGTATCTAGATTTTCACAATGACGTATGTGACAAAATTTACATTTCTTGACCCTATTTTGAAGAACCATACCCCGATTAGAATTCAATATTCTTCCAGGAATTATTAGTAGGTTATTATTCAGCAGATCATCAGAACTCAAGTTTGACAATTCTGAGTTTAATTATACTAAGTTACCGAAATGTGACGAAATTCACTTTTCCTGCCCCAAAAGTATAATTTCAATGTGATGAAAAATGGGCATGGGTTTCTATATTTCCTTTATCTCTGAATTAATCATTTCAAACTATAATTAGGACTGTTGATGTGAAAGAAAATGTATCTAAATTTTACAATGACGTATGTGACGAAATTTACATTTCTTGACCCTATTTTGAAGAACCATACCCCGATTAGAATTCAATATTCTTCCAGGAAATATTGGTAGGTTATTTTTCAGCAAATCAGAACTCAAGTTTAACAATGCTGAGTTTGATATCACTAATTTACCGAAATGTGACGAAATTTACTTTTCCTGCCCCAACAGTATAATTTCAATGTGATGAAAAATGGGCATCGGTTTCTATATTTCCTGTATAAATCCATTCCAACTATAATAAGGGCAGTTGATATGAAAGAAAATCTATCTAACTAATGCAATGGCTGATGTGACGAAATTTACATTTCTTGCCCCTATTTTGAAGAATCATACCTCAATTAGTATATAATGTTACTTTATCACCATCACTATGTCGATAAATTTGTTATTTTGCCAACACGGAGCAAATAAAATTATAATTTTTTTTTGTGACGAAATTTACAAATTTTTACCCTGTTCAGGTGTTGAAATTTATCCAATGTTGACATATCACTGCCATATAATAATTTATATGACCGGCGTATGGTTGAAATATTGTTAATTGATCCATAGTACGTAATATAGGGTGTTTAAGTTGGTATACTAATATTTACTCAATTTCACATGTATGTTGAGATATCATACAAATTTATGTGACTAAATTTACCTATTTCTGCCTTCTGTATTTGTATTTGCCTATAACAATGAAATATGTGAACAATTGCAAACACATTCAGCTCACAAAATAATGCTAGACTATTCGGCATTTCTTGTCAGGATGTCATAAACATCCCTCATATAAATTTCTTAATGTGTGACGGAGTTTACATGGTGCTACCATTTAAGGAAAAAAGTCGCTAAATATGTAGATAATAGTCATATACAGCTATTCTATGAATTGGAAATTCGAAAATTTGGTCAAACACGGCAACAAGGGGTCCATATAAAATCCGTCACGTTTTTATAGTGTGACAAAGTTTACAACTCACTGCCGGCCGCATTTAAGCGATATCTTATCGTCTGATAAAGATATCGTTATGCGACAAAGTTTATCTAGAGGATGAAACGATTGTCTTAGGGTTAGAGGGTTTATATAGTTACATAGTGTGACACATTTTACATCATCGTGCCATTCAGTAGGGTCACTAATATTTACCAATATCCTCAAACTTCAATGAACGTGTCCTTAAACGTTGTATGTCCTATTTGCATCCCCTAAGCATTGCATTGATGTTTATTCCTGGTCCGGTTAGCTTTGCGTCTCAGAACTAAAGAGGTCCACTATGCTTTAGTGAGCTATGCTGTCCAACAGGGTACTGTAGATCTAAGGGTTCCCCGTGTAATGGGGCAGGCTGTGAAAAAGCATCTCTGCAGGATGTCCGAGATGAACTGTTTTCGAGTGTTGAGAACTTCCGCTGTAGAACTGAGTAGAACCAGTTGCAGTAGGGGTGTCAGTCAAACACTGCTGGCTACTAGATGATTGTAGAGCGTCCAGTCACACTTCAATGAAGAGTGTGGCAAAGCTAACCCGGTCCCCTGAAAAGTGGTTATTGGATGAAGAAGTGCCAGGAATTCTCGCTATCAGTGTGTCCTCGTAGTCAGAGTTGACATCCCTAACACTGTCTTATCACGAGCCTGTGTCTAGCGTGTGTCAGCGAATTGGAATCCCTAGCTCTGTGGTGGGTGACTTCGATGGGACCTGAAAGCTGAAAGAGAATTTCCTGGTGATTTAATAGCTCTTAGAGCTATGTATCTGTGTCTAACGTATCGTCGTTTGTGTGTGTACTATCTTGTAACCTGATATCTGAAAGAGAAATTTCCTGGTGCTTGGTAGCTGTTAGTGTTGACTTCCTGGTTCCTATGGGAACTTTGAGTTGGCAAGTCCCAACCTTTGTACTCAACAAGAGAGCACACCACCCGTTAGTGCCAACCAGGCCACACCACGTGGAGGTTCGGGGAGGATTTCGTGACAGACACACAGACAGACAGACATACAGACAGAAACACAGACACACATTCTGAGATTATTATATAAACTATTAGGATCTTCCTCCCTATTCTATTTAAAGATTTAACACCTGAAGCACTTCCCACGTACAATATACACACTCTGCACACATTCCAATTGTATTGTTTATATTAGTCACTGTTAAAGCATATAAAGTAATGAGGTTAACATGATACGGGTGGCTCCTTGTACAGCCCTTACATTGGAACTCAAATATCAAGTTACATTATAGTCGTTGCCGTTTCGTTTTGTTAAAGTGCTTTAGTCCAGCTTTTAAATACTGCAGTCTTTTGAATTTGGAGCGTATATTTGACGCTTTGCCCTTGTCAGAGGGTCTATCATATTGAATTGAAATTGAGATTGGCTTTATCTCCTCTGAGTTGCATACAAATGACACACACGTTATTACCGACGTTTCGCCACCATGGCTTCTTCAAGGCGGACCAAATACCTTGTAACGTTATGACCTGGTAAATATCATTAATATCCATATTAATGTAAAATAAAACTCTGAATAGTAATAAAGTCTGCAGTCTTTTAGTGGAAATCTTGGACACAAATACCCGGGCCCCAAAAATCTGCTTATAATTCTACAAATTATCTGATATTTGCGTATTAAAGAACGTCATTATATGCAAAAACTGTTGCCTTATAATACACCAGCAGCCAGAAGGCCGCTGTCATCCTAACGTTTATTTTATGTGTTCACCGGTCAATTGAAGGGTCGATCGAACAAGCATTGAATTCATGAAACACTGTAGATATGTAATTCTGTGAATGTTTACTATACAAGCTAGATGTTAACAGATCTAGAATGGAGAACTGCAATCAGTAAACTTTTCCAACCCCTCCTCTCTGAGTCTCCGAGGTGGCTCACGTGATACAGACACAAATGTAATCAGGGAGAAATTCAACATTGTCGAGGAAGTTATTGAGTATTTAATTTTATATCGTCATTTTCATCTTGTTTTGTGTTCTTTTGTTTCATTATCAATTTTTATCTAGCTATATGTCTATGGAACTGCGTTAACAACAACATTACATAACAAGATGATAGGATTGGTGGTACTTCTTCTCTGCCCAAATATTTCTGAAGGTGGGCAATCTTGACAATCATCTTTCGTAAAATAATTAACGTAATTTATTGATCCTAATTTTACACTAGTAACTTTATAATGAACAGAGAAGGTAAAATTGCTCAAAACGTGAATTTTTGATATTTCTACTAGTGTCAGCAGCTTAACGACAAATTTGAATGTGCAAACTGCGAATGAAGAATGTGTTAAGTAATAGAATTTGCTATTTGGACACGAATTTGCTCATTGAAGTTTGAGGATAATGGTAAATATTAGTGACCTTATTAAACGGCACGATGAGGTAAAATTTGTCACGCTATGAAACTATGTAAACCCTCAATTGTTAGGATAATCGTTTCATCCTCTAGGTAAACTTCGTCACAACGATATCTTTATCAGATACATCGATTAAATTCGGCCGGCAGTGAGTTGTAAATTTTGTCACACTATAAAAACGTGACAGAGTTTACATGGCCCCTTGCTGTCGTGTTTGACACCATTTTCGAATTTCCAGTTCATAGGATAGTTCCATATGACTATTATTTACATATTTATCGACTTTTTTCGTTAAATGGTACCTCCCTTGGAGATTAATGAAATTAATTCGCAGGGTTTAGTTTAGTAGATACGAATGGTCATATTGTTGGCAGTGGAATTCTTGGGTTGCTGATTTTCGATGGAGGAACAGTTTGTGGCCATTATTTCACTGATTACTCAGCTGACGCTATTTGTCGTAAAATGGGATACAATGGTCAAATGTTTTGGACATCCGGTAGGAAATGGGACATCCAGTCAACTTATGATATTACTATGGACGACGTTATATGCAGCAGTGGTGAATGGAGTTCATGTTCATATTCATTATCACACAATTGTGGTAATTATGAAGACGTGTTTCTACAGTGTGATGAAATTGGTGAGTCGATCTTATTATTAGGGAGAAGGAGAGGGATAGGGATAGGGAGAGGGAGAGGGAGAGAGAGAGGGAGAGGGGGAGGGAGAGAGAGAGGGAGAGGGGGAGGGAGAGGGAGAGGGAGAGGGAGAGGGAGAGGGAGAGGGAGAGGGAGAGGGAGAGGGAGAGGGAGAGGGAGAGGGAGAGGGAGAGGGAGAGGGAGAGGGAGAGGGAGAGGGAGAGGGAGAGGGAGAGGGAGAGGGAGAGGGAGAGGGAGAGGGAGAGGGAGAGGGAGAGGGAGAGGGAGAGGGAGAGGGAGAGGGAGAGGGAGAGGGAGAGGGAGAGGGAGAGGGAGAGGGAGAGGGAGAGGGAGAGGGAGAGGGAGAGGGAGAGGGAGAGGGAGAGGGAGAGGGAGAGGGAGAGGGAGAGGGAGAGGGAGAGGGAGAGGGAGAGGGAGAGGGAGAGGGAGAGGGAGAGGGAGAGGGAGAGGGAGAGGGAGAGGGAGAGCAATTATCAATAAACAAATCATTAAACATTTAGATTCTAGAGTTGATATTATTAATGAAATGAATTCGCAGATTTTAGTTTAGTAGATACGAATGGTCATATTGTTGGCGCTGGAATTCTTGGGTTGCTGATCATCAATGGAGGAACAGTTTGTGACGGTTCTTTCACTGATTACTCAGCTGACGCTATTTGTCGTAAAATGGGATACAATGGTCAAATGAGTTGGACATCCGGTAGTAAGTGGGACATCCAGTCAAATTATGATACTACCCTGGACGAAGTTTCATGCTACAGTGATGGTTGGAGTTCATGTTCATATTCATTATCACACAATTGTGGTAATTATGAAGGTCACGTGTTTCTACAGTGTGATGAAATTGGTGAGTCGATCTTATTATTAGGGAGAAGGAGAGGGATAGGGAGAGGGAGAGGGAGAGGGAGAGGGAGAGGGAGAGAGAGAGGGAGAGGGGGAGGGAGAGGGAGAGGGAGAGGGAGAGGGAGAGGAAGAGGGAGAGGGAGGGGGAGAGGGAGAGAGAGAGGGAGAGGGAGAGGGAGAGGGAGAGGGAGAGGGAGAGGGAGAGGGAGAGGGAGAGGGAGAGGGAGAGGGAGAGGGAGAGGGAGAGGGAGAGGGAGAGGGAGAGGGAGAGGGAGAGGGAGAGGGAGAGGGAGAGGGAGAGGGAGAGGGAGAGGGAGAGGGAGAGGGAGAGGGAGAGGGAGAGGGAGAGGGAGAGGGAGAGGGAGAGGGAGAGGGAGAGGGAGAGGGAGAGGGAGAGGGAGAGGGAGAGGGAGAGGGAGAGGGAGAGGGAGAGGGAGAGGGAGAGGGAGAGGGAGAGGGAGAGGGAGAGGGAGAGGGAGAGGGAGAGGGAGAGGGAGAGGGAGAGGGAGAGGGAGAGGGAGAGGGAGAGGGAGAGGGAGAGGGAGAGGGATTATCAATAAACAAATCATTAAACATTTAGATTCTAGAGTTGATATTATTAATGAAATGAATTTGCAGATTTTAGTTTAGTAGATACGAATGGTCATATTGTTGGCGCTGGAATTCTTGGGTTGCTGATCGGCAAAGGAGGAACAGTTTGTGACGGTTATTTCACTGATTACTCAGCTGACGCTATTTGTCGTAAAATGGGATACAATGGTCAAATGAGTTGGACATCCGGAAGTAAGTGGGACATCCAGTCAAATTATGATACTACCCTAGACGAAGTTTCTTGCAGCAGTGGTGAATGGAGTTCATGTTCATATTCATTATCACACGATTGTGATCGTAGTGAAGACGTGTTTCTACAGTGTAATAGAATTGGTGAGTCGATCTTATAATTAGGGAGAGGCAACGTCCTTCTCCCAAAACAAAAATCCCTAGCCAGAGTCGCAAAACGAGCCCAATCCTCAGGCTCAGCTCACCACTCCTCTGACTATATGAGGACTTTGTGGTACCTCCCACCTGTAACCTGACCCACTATCCCGCTCACTTATAGAAACCAAAATTTGGTCCCAGGTCTCCTGTATCACGTGATATGACGCAGTATACCACGTGTTCAATTCTAATATAGGAAGAAAAATTAATAATAATCTAGAGAGCAAAAATTGCACTAAAATGACGCAATTAGGTCCTCAAACTGTAGGCTTACAAAACCAATCGTGAAAGAATTTTAAAAGCTAGTGACCGATTTCATTCTAGGTGAGGAAACTGACAACCGAACAGATATAAGTTGGAAAGAAGCGTGGCAACATTCCCGGCTCATTCCAGCTGACCTGGAAAAGTTTGACCTGCACCTAAAAACTTCTAGTTTTGAGCGTAGTAATGATAAGATTGTGGTAATGTTTCATAATAAAGAAGAACGGTTAGTAGGAGGTATTTCTATCATGTTCTATGACGCTGTGGTGTACGATCTATTGCTTTGTGATGATACGAATAATGTGCGCCATTTCCCGTCATATCTATCTAGAGATATAGATAAGCATTGGGTAATACAAAAAGATGGTTATAGAATCAGAATTCGTTGTAACGGAGTGCAGGTCCTAGACACAACAGTGTCCTCCGGGACATGTCATGGTAAATGGTCTGATCGGAGCAAATACTGGGGACAAAATGTGAGCAGTATAAAGTTCATGAGAACTGACAGAGATTGGCAGGACACTGCGACAAACTATTATTACATAGACTCCGGTTAGTTAGTGGGTGGTTTTTTAGTTAATTGACAGATAATTATTCCTTAATTGCAACTTATCGATTGAAAGTTATGTTGGACGCCACCACTAAGTTATCATCAGTAAAAGTTTGTTTTGGATTTTGCAATTTATACGATTCATCAATGAACAAAGCCTAAATCAACCGTATTTTTTGTTTCAGAAAGGGATGAGACTGAGAGCAAGAGTAAAAAAATGCCCGCAACGACTATTGTTATTATAATCTTGGTTATATTATTCGTTATCGTGGTCGGTGTTTATGTTTATCATGTTAAACGCAAGAATAAAACTGTACGAAATAATATGCGAGAGGAGCCAGTGTTTCCAGCGCCACCAGATAATGTGCGAGAGGAGCCAGTGTTTCCAGCGCCGCCAGATATTATGCGAGAGGAGCCAGTGTTTCCAGACCAAACTCTGTCGGATGTTGCTCCGCCGAAATATGAAGAATCTGTTAGAGCGTTTGGTGAAGAGACTGTACCAAGCTATGAAGACGTAATGGGTTATAGTGGTGGTTATGGTGATGGTGGTGATGGTCATGGTGGTGGTGGTGACTGATGAAAATAAATGAACAATCCACGTTAACCTAAGTACGGCCACCCCGTAATCGAATTTTTGTGAAGATGTGAATTTTTAAAAATTCCCAATTTGTTAAATACATTTTCGGCGAATGTTTGCAAACTTCTCGTAAGCGAATGAGTCGATTTGATATTTTCCATTTAATTATTTAATTGATTTATAAAATTATAAATAAAGAATTATAGCTGAAAATTATTAAGAAACAAAAAATGACGAATTTTTTTCAAGAGGCCACTTTTTATAAACGTGGAGTGGATGTGTAAAATTATGAGAAAAGATAATATACGAGAGGAGCCAGTGTTCCCAGAACAAACTCTGTCGAATGTTGCTCCGCCGAAATATGAAGAATCTGTTAGAGCGTTTAGTTAGGAGAATGTACCAAGCTGGTCGTAATGATGGTGGTAGTGGTGGTGATGGTGGTGGTGGTGGTGACTGATGAAAATAAATGAACAATCCATTTTAATAACCTTAAGATACTGCAAGCGATAGAATAGAAATTTAATCCGACTGGAAAATCCCCAAATTAACGATTACAAACTCACCGTTTACCAAGAAGTCTGAGAAAATCTTCGAATCTGGGGCTGTCAGGTTGGTTGCTGAATATTTCCTCTTCGTTACTTTGGAATTCCTTCAAGTAAACCACTCCTACCTTAATGTTAGAAGTTAATTAATTGATTTTAAATGGAAATTAGTAATTATTTCATCTAAAGAGCTATTAACAGGTAAACAAGGGCGTCTTGTTAATAAGCGTATTATCTTTCCTGTCCACAAATATTACTCATATATTAATTATTATTATGAATATTGTGCTAAGCTCTGATTATAAGCTTAAACCTCGCAAAGCGCACATATCACAAATTATAGTCGCATCTTCGAAGATTCGCATGCTATCCAGAGGTTATTGATCAACACTAAGCTATTCAAAATTCGAAATGCCCAGCTGGATTGATTTAATTTTAACCCAAACTGAAATGAAAACCTTAAATTGTCGCTTGAAGAAAGCCTCGTCCAGCTTCAGAAGCTCTCTCTTTGCTCGATGATGTGAGACAGTGACGAAAGGGTTTGTGAATCCCATTTCCTTTCCTACCGCTCGAACCACTTCGTCCCTCTCGTACCTGAAACAAAAGGAAATATCACATTCACAGTTTCATTTTACAACAAAATGACAAATTTCAATCTGTCAAAACAGTTAATTGACAAGGAAATACCGCACATGTTATGTCGAATAGGTGCGATTTCTCACGGACAATAATCCAGAGCCCCAACTTAAAGGAACCAGAATTAATAGGAATCGGATGTTTCCTTCTTGGTGCACGTGAGAAGCAAGTTTGGGAGGACTCTCGACAAACCTACCTATTAGCAGTAATAGCAGTAGGTTGTAGTAGGCCGTGTGCAATGTGACAATAGCCCCTCACTAATATTCTAAAGTGTTCTCTTGTTCCTGATGTGACCTGGTATGCAACAAAACGTTACATTAATTAATATTCAATTATCAATCAATTCTTAAAACCAATTAACTAATAACATCACATACATTTGTGTCGTTGTTTCAAGTCTGATCATAATATTTATGGTATTTATGGTATTTGTTACCTCCTGTTTAAAGCTGAGAATACAGGGCCCAGCTCCGTCCTCGACTGTATAGTAATTCCAATGATCGTACCCGCTAAAGTGTACCCTGTATATGTCGTCTTCGTGAAGCTCAATCTGCAACACGATCACAAATTAATAACCAATTAATGACGTGTTATCTAACGCCTCCAAATTCTTAACATTTAGCAGTCAGCTTTTCGCCGTCATGCTATAATTATCGATATAAAGCAACTGCTACGGCTGATTAATCTTTAAAGAGTCTCAATATCAAGACTTGCCTCTATGGGTGTTAGATCGTACTGAGCCGGGATCTCAATCCAGAACTTCTCATCACACTCACACAGTTTGTTAGTGTTCAGGTGATTGCTGGTTATACAGTTCGTTTTAGGGGGAACGTCTTGGAAACATTCCTGAAATTCCAGCTGTTACCATGGTCCGTTGCTAGGGTTATTTCAAATACGCTCAAATTCCAGCTGTTACCATGATCCATTGCCAGGGTTATTTCAAATACGCTCAAATTCCAGCTGTTACCATGGTCCGTTGCCAGGGTTATTTCAAATACGCTCAAATTCTAGCTGTTACCATGGTCCGTTGCTAGGGTTATTTCAAATACACTCAAATTCCAGCTGTTACCATGGTCCGTTGCTAGGGTTATTTCAAATTCCAGCTGTTACCATGGTACGTTGCCAGGGTTATTTCAAATACACTCCAATTCCAGCTGTTACCAATTACCATGGTCCGTTGCTAGGGTTATTTCAAATACACTCAAATTCCAGCTGTTACCATGGTCCATTGCTAGGGTTATTTCAAATACACTCAAATTCCAGCTGTTACCATGGTCCGTTGCCAGGGTTATTTCAAATACGCTCAATAATGAAAGGAAAATGCAAAAATGAACGGTAAAAACCTTTATTTGAGATTTAGCGAGGATTATGCTTTGGAATGTCCGTAATTCTGCCATAAACCTGTCCGAGCTTGTCTCGATGTAGGAGGATCCACAATCAACTGCGTGTACTGCTCTGTGGAAAATCAGGGTTACCGTTGGTTACTAATTAGTAACCAAAACAGTTATTAGTCAGGGTTGGAACTTACTAGTGCTGTGAGTTATTAATTAGTAACCGAAACACTTGCATTACCAAGTAACCTTGTTGTACACACTGACTCTAATATCTGGGGTAATAAGAATATTAGTATTGTTACATGTCCAGGAGATGTCGGGATTACACAGGGTCAGGCGGTCCTGGTGTTGTATTTAATTATATATTATATATATTGTATTACTATTGGTAAACCTATCTATGTAGTATGTATCGTGTATTTGTAGATCAACAAATATTTGCAATTCAATAATTTGTTATTGAGCTCTAAAGTTAATAAATACAACCATTTAGAAAGATAAAATACAGTGGGAAAATGGACAATTTATTTCATGTATGTATGACTGAAATAGCGAAAATGGTAGGATAGGTTTCCCGGTCAAGATAGAAGGCAAGATAAACTTCGCCAATTTTACGAAAGCAAAAATTCCCGGAAATGAAAAACAAATCCTTCGGCTTCCTGTAATTGGCTGGTTGCACTTGTGTAACAATATGGCTGTTGGAATACTCCGAAGTAAAATAAGTGTCTAGATTTAAAAAAATAACGAAAGCCTGTGATCACCAGTAATCAAAAGAATTAAGTGACGAAAAAATAAAGTTGTTTAATGTTTATGGAGTTATTTATCTTATTATCTACCTTTATAAGCGGACTGCATTTTTGCTTTATAATGGTTAGTAAACATAGTACACGACAGAAAACAAAACCCCCAACACTATTCTATACCACCTGTCCAAACTATTAAAGTTATTAATCCCATAATTTAGAGATTAACAGGAATCTAACGTTGGGGTGTGGGCTGGTATGTACCTGGTATGTAAGGGCAAGCACAGGTTCGACAGATTCTCACTCCATATACGGGATGATTGATGAGTAGTACCCGATGTTTTTAGAGAGAGAGAGAGAGAGAGAGAGAGAGAGAGAGAGAGAGAGAGAGAGAGAGAGAGAGAGAGAGAGAGAGAGAGAGATAGGGTGTTGATTAATTAATTAATTTATTGAATAATAATTAATTAGTACCTTTCAGCGTTGAGGGTGTTGGTGTTCTGATATTCAGTGAGTAGGGCAGCTGGGCAGAACCTCCCCTGAACACGTGATACATTATAACAGAACACGTGATACATTATAACAGAACACGTGATACATTATAACAGAACACGTGATACATTATAACAGAACACGTGATACATTATAACAGAACACGTGATACATTATAACAGAACACGTGATACATTATAACAGAACACGTGATACATTATAACAGAACACGTGATACATTATAACAGAACACGTGATACATTATAACAGAACACGTGATACATAAGATCAGCTCAAACCCCATTAGACTCGCCCTATCAAAGTAAATAAGGATTAAGTGGAAAAATGGGAAAATGAACATTCATTTTAAAAACAATGAACACAATTATCATTTGATAAGACATATTTCTCGAATGCGTGATAATAGCAAATCATAACAGAATGAATTATCTCGATCAGGCACTCAGTGACTGAGGAATAACACAAACTTTTGCACTAATCAGTAAAAAACGTGGTTATTCCATTGTGAAGAGACGAGATAGGAGACAAACCTTGAACTTGGTTACAGCTCCAGATATCTCTGCAGTGTCAGAGCTTGTGTGATTTGAGCACGTCAGAAACATTGCATGATTCTCAAACCTGTCAAGGTGTTAGCTTTTGATTTCCGACGTCAGGTATGTAAATATTTTGAATATTCAAATCCACTGTGAGCTCTTATCGAGAAGAATGATGATCCATCGCAACTAATGATACACTTAGTTTCACACTAGAAAGTACATACAGCATAACAAAACATAAACTGTTAGAGGAAAACTTATACATAAAGTATAGCTTATTCATTGGCTAAAAAGTAATTAGTGATGATTTGATTTCTGCAAAGTGCTCAAAAAGACTACATAACTAAGGGCTTGAACGGTAACGAGTGAAAGTGATAATAATTTTAATCCTTCAATCCTCAATAAACTCTATACACTGCTTACTGATTACATTATCAAGCACATAATTAAACAAGAAGTGAACTGTTAACCTGAAAGTAGTGAGGTTGAGAGGGACATTACAAACTTGACATCTGAAGCATTTCATGTGAACCCGCCCTACCGAGGGAAGTGTAACATTCGGACCACAGTCAACTCTGAAATAACATTGATTGATTAATTTATGAATAATCCTTTTGGTTACTTGATTTATTTCCAAACAATACTATGTTAATTAAGATTACCTGGCTGTTTATTTTAGTTTGTTTTTAATTAATTATTTCCATAAGGAAAGACATTGTGGTATTGCAGCTGAAAGAGTGTTTTGATAAAAATCAATTCATAATGAATAGTAATAATAATCACTATAATTAATAGTGATTACCTGTCCATGGCATCTTTACAAACAAGACACACATTCGCGGAGGTGGAGGCCATGGTCATACTATAAAAATAACAATTATTCTCAACATATATTAAGACGACAATAATACCAAAGAGAAAATATTAATCTATTACAAGCAATGAAAATAGCAAAATAAGTTAAATAGGTTGGCGATAAATAAACAGATAATCTTGACAACGTTAATGGAATCAATTTGCTATAACTTGAAATTGCCAAATTTGGTGTTGTAACTGGAATATAACTGACAGCTTCAATCTATAATTAGCTTGCTTCCTTGAAGGTTATTGGTATTTGCGTTGTGTGCATGCTGCCCATGCCTTTATCATCCAAATTCGGAGTGCCTGAAAACTATCTATGAAGGTAACAGATCCTCAAAAGGTAGTTGAAGCCCAAATTCGGAGTGCCTGAAAACTATCTATGAAGGTAACAGATCCTTAAAAGGTAGTTCAAGCCCAATTAACCAAAGAAATAAATCAATCTATCTTGTGCACTGGTGATATCCACCCATTGCATTTGCATGTGACTGATGTGAACCCTGTCAATATTGTAAGAAATATGGATATGTAGGGATGTAGTCCTGTTTGAACTGTACAGTCGGCTTGTAACAGTACCATCAGGTTTGAACACTCGAGGCTCCTGGAAAGATATGAAGTAAATCACACAATTAAAACATATGGAATCTTTGATGTAACACACAAGTCATGAAGGGAAAAAGACATATGCGATAAAAAATTGAAAATTGCAAACCTCAAGAGTATTCTAGGTTCTGGTTACGCTTGTGTTTTTCAGAAAGCATTGGTGATATTGGGGTTGTTAGCCATAAGACTATTATCTGCAAGGTGCTTGTAAGTGGGAGCAGCCCTGCTTAACGCAACAGTTTGCATAGTTGGTAGTCTGTGATGGTTGCAGGGATGGTAATGTTAATTTCTGGACAGCTTAAGTCTGTAACCGAGTTGCTCCCAAGTAGGAGTGGTGTTCTTGAAAAACAGTAATGAGGCAGTGTAGTCAGTCACCCTGACCGTATTCCTTGTGAAAGTTGTTTGATGTATGGTTTACTCTCCAACAAAACTCTAGATCCTAACACACTCACTGCCACAACAAGAGCAATCCATTCAATTCTCTCTGTGAACGAACAATATACATCCTATTATAAGAGCCCAGATTTCCACTCAAATACTGGCAAGTGCATAATGGTATAGGACCTTAAAATAAAATTGAACCATATAAAATAAATAATAATAATAAAATTTGGTAGCTTAAACACAAACTCTAAGCCCAGTGGATAAACCACAAAACTTATGCTCTATTGTGTGAAACAAAGATACTAGATCAAGATAACTATCAAGGAGTGTATGCATAGGACATAAAAAGTTTTGGAACGAAGATGACATGCTTGTGAAGCGAGCTAACAGTCTAATTGCTAATAAGTTCAAAAAGATCATGACATTAGGTTGCATCCTAAACAGTTTAAGCAAATAACATAAAGTTATTATATTGTCAATTAATCGCTGATGCCATAACTTTTCTTAAACAGGTGAGTTTTTAATAATGTTTTGAACAGATCAACATTGGAACAAGTCTTAATTTCAATTGGTAGTTGGTTCCAGATTTTCGGAGCAACAGTCTGAAACGCTCTTGGGTGTGATCTTGTAGATCCGACGGGTAGGTGTAAGGAGGAAGTTCTTCTGCTACTTGAACTAACAAATGTTACTAGATCACACAGATATGCAGGAGCAACACCATTGACTGCTTTGAAAATCAGTAAGCATAACTTAAACTCAATCCTCTCCTTCACCTTGAGCCAATGAAGGGATTTGAGCTTCTCCTCGACTGAGTCTCTCTTCTTTAATCCAAAAACCAGACGGCATGCTCGGTTCTGAATGTTCTGCAGCTGCGTAATTGAGGCTTGACTACAACCATAGTAAAGTGCATTGCAGTAGTCAAGCGATGAGATTACAATTGCTTGAGTCAGTGTTCCCATCTGTTTGGTTGTGAGGAATGTTTTCATCTTAGCAAGGTCTCTTAGTTTCAGAAAACACGATGTTTTAAGTTGCTTGATTTGCTCACCAAAGTTTAGTTGAGAGTCGAGACGAAATCCGAGGTTCTTTGCAACAGGTGACAGCCTGACACACGTCTCAGAGTTAACAAACACGCCCCCTATGGACAGCTGCTGGAGAACAAGCGGTGTCCCAAAGACAAGAATCTCGGTTTTTCCTGCATTGAGCTGTAGATAATGTTTTTTCATCCAGTCATTAATTTCTTGGAAACATTTAGGAACATCGTTGATAAGGACGGTGGGCTCCTCGTTTGGCTTGAAACTTTTATACAGCTGATGATCGTCGGCGTAACCCTGGATGGAGAAGTTCAAATCATGTGCTGCTGAGTACAAAGAGCGAATGTAGATGTTGAACAGGACCGGACCCAGCACAGAGCCCTGTGGGACTCCAAACTTAATCACTATCTCATAAGATTCCTCATTTCCAACTTTAATCGTTTGACATCTACCTGTGAGGAAGCTGCTGAACCATTTCCAAGCTGTCCCTGTTATTCCCAACTCATTTCTGAGGATGTTCAGTAGTTTGCAGTGGTCAACTGTATCAAAAGCTGCGCTGAGATCTAGGAGAAGAACAACAGTTGCCTTGCTTTCTGTAGATGCAATGAGTAGATCGTTAACAACTCTCACAAGCAGAGTCTCGGTGCTGTGTTTTGATTTGTATCCAGACTGCTGTGGGATGTTCAGGTTGTTGTTTTCTAGATGTTCATTTAGACGCCTGAGCACTACTCTTTCTATCAACTTGCCCACAAAACTAAGGTTAGATATTGGTCTGTAATTCTTGAGATTATCACTATCTAATCCCTGGCCCTTGATCAGGGGTGTGATATGAGCTAGTTTAGCGCCATCAATACTGCCAGAAGATAATGAAGCATTTACTATGTCAACTAAGACGGGTAGTAGAACCTCAAGGTTTTCTTTAAAGATGTTTGCAGGTAGAGGGTCAATTGAAGAAGACTTGATCTCAGATGCCTTGATTATCTCCTCTAGTTCTTCTAGAGTAGTTGGAGAGAACTCAGCTAGTTTTTCTCCGCAGTAAGAGGGCGTTTGATCGTCAGACTCCACATGATCAAAGTTATTTCGTATTGCCTTTATTTTTTCCTGAAAATATACGTTAAAGTTTTCGACTGTGTCCTTGAGAGACTCCGACGAAGGCAATACAATGCTTTTATCCCGATCAAGAAAGGTGTCCACAAATCTAAAAAGACTCTTAGAAGAATAGGAATGCTTTATGAATTCGACTTTGAAAAACTCATGTTTCTTCCTGTCTGAGAGTTCTGTGCACTGCTCTCTGATTGATTCATAGTGTTTCTTGTCAGTTAAAGATCCGGAGATTTTCCACTTTGTCTCAGCTTTTCTCCTTTGGCTTCTAAGTGCTTTATATTCACCATCGAACCAAGGGGCAGACTTACGTTCTTTGATTTCCTTTGTGAGGAGAGGAGCATGGTTATTCAGCACAGTTAGGCACTTAGAGTTGTATAGGCTGATGCGGCTTTCAAATGACGGCATTTCAGCTTGTGATAGACCCTCAGGATCCATTACAGTAACCAATTCCTCAGCAAGATTATCCGCAAAACAATTTTTGTCAATTTCTTTGACATTTCTGAATGTGATAACTTTTTTCTTGTTGAGATTGCTTGCAACTGTTTTTGTGAGGCTAAAAGTAACCGGGAAATGGTCACAGTTTGGGAACATTTCCGAGGTGTGCGAGTCTACTGTGACACTCTTTGGATTGACTATCTGATGGGAGGAGATTACAACATCCAGAATATGTCCTTTGTTGTGAGTTGGATCTCTCACGTATTGATGCAGTCCATAGCTGGCCAATACTTCAGTCAGTTTGGCCGTGTTTCTTGATTTATGATCATCCAAATGAATATTAAGATCACCACAGATTAAAAACTTCTTGTATTTCATGAATATGTTCCCAATAAACTCATCCAAATCTTCAAAAAATACATCAGTCAATGACCCTGGTCGGTAAACACAAGCACAGAGGACAGTATCACCCGATGAGTCTCGAAATTTGCCTAAAACTGCTTCAAACGTATCTCCACACTTATCAAACACAGGAGTAAGGTTCAAATCACTTGAATTGTAAATAATTCCAACTCCTCCGCCTCTGCATTTAGCGGAGTCTTTCCTGATGTAGTGAATCAAGTTATAGCCGTAAGACTTGATGGTAGCAGTAACATCATTCTTTATGCTGGTGAGCCAAGTCTCAGTGACAAAAAGGACAGAGATTCCTTGGTCGATTATAGATTCCATGATTGGTTGAATCTTATTATTGAGAGATCTCACATTCCAGCAACAGCCAAGAATCTCCGCCGGAGAGGATTTCAGACCACTGCTTACAAGTTTTTTGAACTGTAGTAATTGATAGTTTTGCGGAGATGCTGCTGTTCAGCAACATAAGCTGGACATGTCCTATCAAATGCCGTGTGTGTGTTTCTTTCATCCCGATACTTGCCCTTAGAGCAGTTAATGCAGCATGAAATATGACTATTAGTTTTCTTTTCTGGACAATCTTCTGACGTATGATTCTTGGAACAATAACCACAAATAGCTTTTTCTGATTCACACTCCGACCTGTAGTGTCCAAAACCTTGGCAGTTGTTGCATCGTTTTACATGAAATTGATCATAAACTTTGCAACTAAACGAACTGATGTATAGCCGATCTCCCTGTTGTTCTATGATTTTCCTGATATTGTTACTAACTCGTATAGTAGCTTGATGCTTGCTGCTGTTTTTGATCTGAGGTTTAACTTTTAGTACAGAAAATGTTTCACCCTGGGATTTTAATGCCTTAATGTTGGGGTGAGCTTGAAGGAGCAGGTCTTCTAGATCTTCTTCAGAATAATTATCAGCAAGGTTAGCAACAGAGATTGTGGGCAAACGTTCTGGTGGCTGGTGCGTTATCATTTCTGGAAGTTGCTGGGATACTTTCTTGACAAGATTTTCCCTGTCAGCTGTTGTCGGA